GGACGACGTCACGCGCACTTTTTGGGATATGGACAGTATGATGTTATCTCTTAGAACGGGCAAGGGGAGGTGGGAATTTCTGGAAACTGCTAAGCACGAGTTCGATCGAATTCCTGTTCGTGATATGCTTGACCGAGCTTCGCCCGACACGATGTTCGAGTCGATCGAGGCGGCCATTCTCAGAGCAGGCAAGGTTCACTTTGAGGGAAAAAAAGAGATTCGGGAAGGGTATAGCGCAGACTGTCGTCGGCGACGCGAACTTCTTCGTCGTCGGGTGGAGGTTCGGGGTAGCAAGTTGCACGCGAGTGAGGACGAGATTTCCACCATTGACCAGGAACTCAAGCTGCTCTCGCGGACCCTCCAACAGGACAGGCGCCGACACCTTCGTACTCATAGGGATACTCTCCTGGCGGAAGCTAATGAGCGGTGGAGCCAGCAGCGCACGGCGGAAGCAATGAAACTCGCCAGACGGGCGGCCAGGTGTCGATTCGGTCCCAAGCGACGTGACACCCGCTTGGCAGGAAGCCGTTCGTTGCCGTCTTCACAGGAATGGCTTTCTATCTGGGAAAAACCAGGTATGGAGGGAGGTATGTTGGTGGAGGAGTTGGATTGGGGGTCCTGGCGAGGGCAGAGGGAGGAGGAGGAGTACGGCGACGACGACGACCCCACCCTCGCGGAGTTGGCAAAGCAGGACCTAGCCGACTTCAGAAAATACGTGCTATACGCCCCGAAACGACGAGCGGTACCCGAAGGAACTTGTCCGCTTGAACTCTTTCATATGCTGTTATTCCCGAAGTGGCGTGTGGATAAATCACGGTGGGGTTTGGGCCAAGATGCAACAGCTCCTAGCGTTCCTGGGTTTTGGTTCCATATGCAGGCTGGCTTTCACAAAATTCGCAAACATCAAGCAGCTCCACTTTACTGGCATCGCAGTGCAGCAGCAGCCCTACACAAGAGTGCAAAACCTGGACCACTAGGTAAACGAGCTGTTCACATTCTCCCTGTACTCGGTAAAGGATATTATGCTAAACGTCTGCACCCCGCTCCCACTCTTGCTGACCATGGATTCGTCCGAGGCCGCCGGCGCGAGAACGCGGTCTTGATTGCACTCAATACATCATGGAGACTGAGGTCTGTTGGTCGAACCCATGCACTCTGTTTAAAAGACATGTCCAACGCCTTCTCCAGCAGTACATACGAAGCGATGTCTGATTCGGTTGATTTGCATGTTACTGAGCATGATCGTGCCCTCTGCCGACAACGTTTTGAGCATTCGGTGGTTGGTCTCCCCTCTTGTGATGGTGAGGTGACGGTGAAGCCTTTCCAGGGGGGAACGATGGGGGACCCGTACATTGTCTCGATGTTCCTGGCCACGTTCTCGAGACCGGTTACATCGTGGGGTTGGGATCTTACACGGTGGGATCGATGCGCTGGCGAACTCCGTGCCACATGGGGAGCTCTACGATCTGATTTGTCATTACTAAAGTACGCTGACGATCTTAACAAGACGGTCTTGGCAGATTTTAATTCGACGTTCTCTGAGTTCTTATCGAAGTTGGGGAAGGTAGACTCTAGCCTTTGCTCGTATCTAGAGGACTACGGCTACGGCCAGAATCTAAGTAAGCAGGAGTTCCTCTTCTTCTTCAGCAATCGAAGCACTTGGAGTAAGCAGGCTCTCAAGTCACGGCATCATGAGTTCCAGGGAAGCGCTAAGGATGCAGTTAGATACCTCGGCCCGTACTTGACGATGAGTGCCCTGGCTGCCCAGGAAGTTTCTCGACGTATTCAAGCCTCTCGTGCTTCCTTTTTCAGTCTGGGCGGGATGTGGGGTCTTCGGCTGCGCTATAAGTTTAAACGACTTCTCCTTCTCGGGTTTGCACAAAATACGCTACTTAGTGGTTTGGAGGCGTTCGTCTTGGGCCCGCGGGACTATGTTCGACTCGACCATGGGCTGGCCGTCTGGGGCAGGAGGGCGCTGGCGGGGAGGGCTTCTCACGAGGATGAGGAAGGTCGAGTTCGTTGTCTCTCGACGGTGCAGATCCTCTGGTACTGGAAAATCGCCCCCTCCGCAGTAGAGATGCGCATCAGAAGGCTGAAGATGTATCAAGCTTGGGCGAGAGATCCTTCTTTGCACGCTCAACCGCTCTGCTGCCTGTTTGGATCGATGGGCGCGGACCGCTTTCGCCACCAGCTGCTCGGGGGCTTACCTACACAGGATTCTTCTCCATGGGTCAAACAAGTACACCAGGACCTTCGCCAGGCGGCTGATGCTTTAGATATTGGTGCCCTGGAGGCGGTGGCGGAGGACTTGAGGATTTTGGGGGACAAGGAGAGGGCGGAGGAGTTTGTGAACATAGATGTGACGGAGCTCCGTGCTCGACATTTTTCTCGACGAGTACCCCCTCCCGGTTTCCCATGTTCTGATAATCTGGTCGCTTCTGATTTGGAGGAGGAGGAGGAGGTGATGCCGTTCGTCTGTGGGCTGCCCTGGGCCCAAAAAGAAAAAAAAGCGTCAATAGCCCCGGGCTCGGCCACGTGCACGGCCGCGTTCAATAATCGACGGGACCTGATGAACCACTACCGTCAGGTGCACCACATTCGGGACCTCTGCCACGTGTTGACGCCCTCGAACATATGTATCCACTGCCACCAGGTGTTTGGTTGTGCGTCGAACGCGGCGCGGCACTTGCGGGGGTCCCTGACGCGAGGCCACTGTTGTACGGCAGGTCCGACTTCTTTGAAATCAACGGCTGATCCTCCGGCTTCGTTAGCGTGTTCGATCTGTTCTCACATCGGCTCAAGCTTGCACAATCTCTGTGAGCACCTCTGCACACACCTCCCCATCCAGCTGCAGCCGTTCGTGCACAGCGAGGAGAATGGCCGGCGCAGCGGGCGACGTCCAGATGCCTGGGTGGTTCAACAAGGGCCCGAAGCGCAAGGGCGAGGGGGAGGGAGAAGGCAGGCCCAAGGAAGCACGGCGCGGCGCTGGCAGCGGGCGCAAGGACGAGAAGGACGAGATGGAGCAGGCATTCAACATGATGGGCAAGCTGCTCCTCACCAACGTGCGCGAGACGGGGGAGCTCTCGGCCAGCGTCTTCCTCAAATACGCCGTGGGAATGGACTCGGGCGTGGTGGCGGCGTGCCGCGCGGAGGGCAAGAGCTACGACGACCACAGTCAGCAGCTCCGCGAGCGCGCCAAGACCGAGGAGGTCGACTTCAAGAGCCGCGGCCCACCACACGTCCACATCGTGCTCGCAGCCATCAAGTACGGGGCGACGCACACGGTGGCGGAGGGCGCAGACAAAGCCGCCGAGGAGGACCTGAAGCTGAAGTTCAGGGCCGTCTTGGACCAGGTGAACCAGCAGAAGGACTGGCGCCCCTTGGCACGGGCGGTGGCTTACTTCAAGTGCAAGCCGCAGCGGGAGGAGGAGGGCAAGAGGCAGTGCGCGACGCTCTACTGGAAGCTGCGCCTGGACACGAAGATCGGCCAGATGCTCCAGGAGTGCCTCGAGCCCCAGGTGATCCTCGAGGGGGGGGAGTACCTCCCAGGCCCGCCGCCGGGGGGCCCATTCGAGCGCGGTCTCTCGAAGTTCCTGGCGCGCGGCGACAAGTCGAAGTAATGATGCAGTCAGCTCGATTCCAGCAGCTGGTGGCTAGAGGTATCCTATCGTCGGACGCTCCACTGAGGGCGGCTAGCCAATCCAGCGGGACAATCCAAACGTTTTCTAACCCAGCGATGCCTGCGGTTCCTCTGGTGCACGTCGCGCCGAGGCCGCCACCGAGGAAGGGGAGGGGGCGGGGTCGTGGTCGTACGGGTGGGACTGGGGGGGACCTGGATCGATCTTAATGCCTGCGCCGTGTGTGCCAACCCCATTGGGGGTTGCGTGCCCGTGCGGGTGTTGGCCTGGCCAGTGCTGCATGCGCAGAGTGCAGCTCGATCGCTATCGCACCGTTTTCCAGTGGGTATCCGCAGATGCCATCTCAGAAGCCTATTTTCCGCCCAGGTCGCCTCACTCAGTTCGCTTGGCTGTGGCATTATCTCGGAGGATGCTGGCTTCCCAGAGCTCAGTTCAGTTCAGTTCCTCCTCCTCCTCCTGCTCCTCCTCCTCCCTGGCCCCCCTGGCGAGGCGCCTGCCGCGGCGCCCGTGCACTCGAGGAGGGGGGAATGAGGCGAGGGGGGAAGCGCGGACATGCCCGGATCGCCGACGATGTTATCTCTTCAACACGGCATTCTTCCTTGACTTCGGCCTCTGTCGGCGGCGTCCAAGGAGGGGGTTTCCCAAATCATGGCCCGAGGCACGTGCGTGGCCCAAGGGGGCTTAAGGAGCGTGTCGAAATGTTGCCGGGAGGTGGCCACGACGTGCTGGGAGACCTCATGGCCCGGGCCAGGATGCCCGCCCCCCCTGGTCATCCCCCCCCCCTCTTGGACGCTCCCGACTCTGGGGCCCGGGGCCAAAGGCCACCCCAGACGGGGAGGAGGGGGGAGGACCTCTGGCGTGGCGCGCGGAGAACTCAGGGAGGACTCTGGAGGACTCTGGAAGGGGGGGGACCCTGGAAGAATCAGAGGACCTCTGGAGGAGGGGGATGACCTCTGGAGGAGGGGACGCATGGGGAGGACCTCTGGAGGGGGGAGGACTCTGGAAGGATCCGATCGTCGGGTGTCTGGGTGCGCCCAGAGAGGCCGCCCGACGACAGCGTGGCGGTTGAGCTAGCGCCTGGGGTGCACGCTGGATCCCTGCGCGATTCGTGAGCGGGGGATCTCGCCGAGGAGGGCGGAGGAGGAGGAGGAGGAGGAGGAGGAGGAGGAGGACGACGACGACGACGACGACGTCGACGACGACGACGAGGAAGAGCAAGGAGGCGAGAGGGAGGCGAGGGGGGCGAAGGACGTGATCCCTTCTACTCCTCCCCCTCCTCCTCCTCCTCATCCTGCCCCCACTCCTTTCCCTCACAAGCAGCCCTCCCTGTCGAGCCACCTAACGAGAAGCCGAGGCGGGGGCCTGTCTTTCTCTGCGAAGGAGAGCATCGCCTGCGTGGGCCCCGTGGCCCCGGCCCCGGAGGCGCGGAGGCATCTTGCGTGGACGGGGGAGAACTCCCGCGGCACGGCGAGGAGGGATGGCACGACCGACGGACGACTGGCGAGGATGGCGGGAGGGCCCGGGGGAGAGGGGAGGGAGGAAGGGGGGGGAGAGGCGCTCTGCTGAGGCACTCCCTTGTCCCTGCGTTGTCTCACGGCTCAGTTGACCCCGGGCCCCACCCACACCCCTACCCCACCCACCACAACAAACTGTGTGGAAGTAGGGGCAGATCATAAAAACCGAAGGCGGGCTTCCACTCCACAACAACTTTTCCCCAACACCGTGCTTGCACTTCGGCTTTCCAATGCGTGGTGGATGGAGATCGCCCTGTCTGCTCCACTGTTCGCACGCGGCCTCCTCTGTGTGTGGGCTCCTGCGGTCCTCTGTGCTGCGAGCGTCCGTTGTTGCGCGAGCTCCCACGCTTAGAATGCTCCCACGCTGTGTGTGAGCTCCCACGCTTAGAATGCTTAGAATGCTGAGCTGCTCTTGCTCGGACCACCACGCTAAGACTCCCACAGTGTGCGTCGCTGCCTGGCCTCCTGCGCGCGGTCTCCTGCGCGTGGGCTACCGTGCCTCTGCACGGGCTGAGGCTGCGGGCCGCTGCTGCTTGGACACTCCTGCATGGGTTCATGCGGTATGCGGCCGTGGTTGGATTCGTCTGCGTGGCCTCCCGTGCGTGGACTCCACCGGCCGAAAGTGTGTGCCGCGGACGCTCAATTAGCCGCTCGTCGTCCCTGAACTGCCCCATCGACCTGCGAGTGCTCCGGAACCGAGACAAGGAGTGTGCCGCCGAGGCAGTGGACTCCTGTGCGTGGACGCGTGGACTGCTGTTGGTTCTTGCTTGGTCTCTTATGTGTGGCCTCCCATGTTTGGATGCGTCTGGTATCCCGCCCCGCTGGTGATCCAAACCCGTTGTCCCTGGCAGTCTCGTGCCCGCACGCTCAGCGAGAACTTCTGAGGCACATCGAGGCATTTGCAGACAACGTTGCGATGTGGTTGGTGGATTTGCTCTTTCCCCCCCCCCCAAACAACGCTTGCTCTTGGGGCCAAGGTCGTTGCAATTACGATCCAAAGAGCTGGTATTGTGGGTGGCCTTTTTGTTCCCCCATATGCCCAAGGGCTGCTTGGACTTCCATGGCTAGGACTCCTAACTATGGCTTCTTCCCCCAATGGCCATGCGGGTGGCTCCTGACCCAGTGCTCGGTCGGGCTCTCATGGCTTGGAGCCACATGCATGGCATCCCGCCCCACTTGCCTTCTGGGTGACCCCTCTTCCCGTGGCCGCTTGGACTCTCATGGCATGGACTCCTGAGGCCCCGACCTCTACTGCATGGGTACACAGACATAATAATCGCACATAGCTCCGCGAACGTATAGTTGGACAGGCTAAGGACACAGGGCTCCGCACATGCAACACGCAATACTCCATACACGCAGGGTTTCGTACACACGGACCTCCTACGCATGCTCCAGATATGAATCAGTTGGGATCCACGTGCTGGCATCCTTTCACACAGCAGCGGTTACACGCCAGCCTTGGAGGTCTCGCGCACAGTGGAATCGAGGGTGGCAACGACGAAGACGGTGGTGAATGCCCATGGCCACCGATGTCTCCTTCGACGACTACCACACTACGTCATGCTACAACTTTGGGGGACCTCGTCCGTCCCATCGCGCCAATTATCCGTGCCGCATCCATATCGGATACATGGCGAACGCGTCGAATCCGTGTCGAGTCCGTGCCGAATCCATGCCGAATCCACGACGAGTCCGAGTCGAACCCCCCGTCGTAGTGCAAACAAAAACTGCCATTCACAGGGCAAGACAGGCCCTCCGAAGATGCAAAGCAAAAACGACCATGCGAACGCTGCGAAGACATTTGGAATGCGAGGGGGGCGCCAGGGCGACGCGTCATACTGTGGATGAGCAGGACAGGACCTGCAGCTGTGCGCCGCGCGGGCGCTGCAGCGCGGGGCCGAGGCGCCCAGACGACACGCGAGACGCGGGGACTGAACGGGGAGAGCATCGCTGGTTCCGGTAAGTGTGCACCCCGTCCCACGGAGGTGTCCGCCCCGCTGTTTCCTCTCCAGCGCTTAGTCACTTGGTCGATCCCCTCGTCGTTCGTCCCTCCCTCGCTCGCTCCGCCTCACCCTGCGTCCTCGCTCGTCGTGCGTCCCGCTTTCACTTCGCGCCTCTTGTGTCTCCTCCTTCAATGAGAACTCAATCATTGTGTTGCGCCTGCCGAGAAGCCGTTGGGCATATGGCCACCTGGCCTGACCTGACCTGATCCCCCGTGTGGGGCCCAAACACCGTGTGGTGACGGACCGCGTGGTGCCCCGAGAATCCCCAACGACCTCTCCGCGCACCGCGTTGGTCGTCACCGCAAGGTCTTGGGAATTCGGAGGCCCCAATCGCCTGAGACGCCCTCGGAGTATGACCCGAGTCCCAAAACCGTGCGGTGACCCCGAATCTCCGCTGACTCACAGCGCGGTGGGGTCACCACACCGTCTGGGGGCCTCCGGCACGGCCGGGGGCATATGCACCCCAGAAAAGGCACGCAAAGCACGAAGCCAACGGTGGACTTGCCTACCAAGACGTCGACGTACGTTAGGTCCGTGTGCGAGGCGGGCACGCGAAGGCGTTTGACAATCGTTCAAGCTTGAATCGATCGGGGGCACCAGCTTCAAGGCTGAATTCCATGGGGCCCAAGGGCGTTGCCGTGTCCGTCTGTGCTGCCGCGTCCCAGACTTCAGCCTTGAACGCCTTCGCCGTCGTCGCCGGCGCGCCAACCCTTGATGAGCCTGCCGTAGTGGATGCGTACGTCAGGCAATATTGACACAAAATTAAGGGGCCACATGCGAACCCTACCCCTACCCCCCACGATTTCTGAGGGGGAGGGTGGGGTTCACTCCGTTCGGGAGCTCCCCAGCGAAGTGAACCCCACCCTCCCCCTCAGAAATCGTGGGGGGTAGGGGTAGGGTTCGCATGTGGCCCCCTAAAAATATCCAGGGAGGAGCACTGCTCGGTCGGCCTCCGACCTCGCAGAAGAGCTCGAGAACTCCAACGGGCGAACAGAGACGTCGGAGGGGGAACAACAACGTGGGGCGCCTGCTGGCATGCGAGCTTCATACTTGGCGTGCCTACTGTACGCGCACTAGAACGCAACGTGTGCGCGTAGGACCACCCTGCGGGTGGTGATCGACCTGACTATATATATATATATATATATGACTACATATTGATCGCTCTCACGGTCGATTTGCGGGAAAACGATCACGGGACACTCACGGGAAAAGCGCGGGACACTCGCGGTGGACCACGCGACAACGATTCGACAATCGTTGTCGAATCGTTGTCGCGTGGCTCACCGCGAATGTCCCGCGGTTATCCCGTGAGTGTCCCGTGATCGTTTTCCCGTAATCGACCGTGAGAGCGATTCATATGTAGTCAGGTCGATCATCACGGGACAATCGCGGGAAAACTGTGGGACAACGGCGGGACAACGGTGGGAAAACTGCGGGAAAACTAAAGTGCTGAGGAAGAAAGAGGGATCCTTCAATTGTGTATTGTTTCTCCAGTCCTGTCTCAGTTCCCCCATCTACTGTCCACGGTGGGCGTTTCAAAGACAGCGTAAGCACGATATGGCCCTAGATGAGGCTTCCTCCGTGCACGCTTTGCCTACGGGGCGATCCACCTGGGAGGGCTCCTTCTCTGCAGGCCATCCCCCTGCCAAGGCTTCTTCGGCGCATGCTAATCCCAACCGTACTAGGAGGCCTGCCCGCCCCGCGTACAACCACCCAAGAGGGGGTGCTTCACAATCCTGGCCGCTCCGGGGCGCCATGGAGTTCCCAAAGACGGCCCCGGCAGGAGGCTCCGAAGAGGGGCTCAAGAGCGCAAGACGGTCGCAGTTGGCTCCAGGATGCCTCCAGGATGGGCCCAGGAGGGCCCAAGACTCCCCAGAGGTGGCAAAACATTGGCCAACCGTTGCGTGTTCAGTGCTGCTCGCCTGTCCCACGAATTGCTCCCAAGACGCCCACGTCGTGCTTCAGGGCGGACCCCCAAGAGTGTCCGAGACGGCCTCAGGACGGCCCAACGAAAGCCTCAAGAGGAGGCGCGAGTCGCCCAGGATGGCCCAGCAATGGCCCAAAGTGGCCCCAGCAGGGGGGGGAGGAGGAGGAGGAGGAGGAGGAGGAGGAGGAGGAGGAGGAGGAGGAGGAGGAGGAGGAGGAGGAGGAGGAGGAGGAGGAGGAGGAGGGGGAGGAGGAGGAGGAGGAGGAGGAGGGGGAGGAGGAGGAGGAGGAGGAGGAGGAGCAGTGGCCCAGGGTGGCCCCCACGTCCGGCCCAGGGGCCCCTGCCATGCCCTCGACCAGGCCCCGTGATGGCCCCCAGACTGCTCCAGGATGGCTGGCCAGTGCATGGCTCAACCGATGGGGCCGGCGGCTGGCGGCGGCAGATGGCGCAGCCTTTCAGACAGAAGGGCCGACGGGAGCGAACAATTTCGGCGAAGGTGGCATGGGAGCCGCACGTATACACACTCAGATACGCAGGGCTGCATACATATTCTGTTGGACCTCTCAAGTCTCAAGCTCGCGAACCTACCCCGAAGAACGTCCACCGTGTGCGGTGGTGATTCCCCGTCCCCGAACGGGCCCTCTCACTTTATCTCTCCCCTTCGCCCCAGCCTGATTGGTAAGGCGTCGGGTCGGAATTGAGACCGCCCTGGACTACTCGGGGGTCATGCTGAGACCAGCTGGGACTACTTCGGGCCCTGTTGAGGCCAACTAAGAACTACCTAGGGGCTGCATCTGCGCAACCGGATGGCTTACCATTCACCCCGGCCTGACAATGCTCCTCGTCCTTCCCCTCATGCTGCCTCCCCCCTGTGCTCGCGAGAGGAGGAGCAGGCCAAAATGGGCGTCAACGAATCAGCATGCACGTCGCTGATTTCCCCCTTCGCCACGTGGGGGCAAGAGGGACCACGTCGTTGTGATACATAAGTGTATGTATGTATGTATATATACACTTGTATAGAGGTGTCGATGTGTATATATCTCTACAACTGTTCAAACGTAATTTTGAAGTGTGCATTTGCTATATCGTTCTACCTACACATCGTATTCGTGTGTTCTGCACTAGGGCTGCGAGCTACGAACTTGAAGAACGATATCGGCCCAATCGACAAAACGTCAAACTCACCAGGACCTGTATCGACCCCGCGCTGCCTGACTTGAACGAGAGACACGAAGGCAGGAGGGACCCTGCAGCCAGCAGGGAGGGAGCCCGCCGGCGAGAAGAGAAGCCGGCTGCACGCGGCAGCTCTCGCAGCCCCCTCCCCCCCCTCGGGCGCGGCCGCCACCGGCCCCTCCTGTCACGAAACCCCCTCGCCTTCGTAGGACCCCCTCCGACCGCCTGCACAAGCCTCGGGGCCGAGTCGAGGGGCTCGGCAGCGGAAGGGGGTCGGTCTGCCAAGAAGCCAGGCCGCCACGGGCCTCTTGCTGGGCCGCCCGATTCCCGTGCTCGGAGCAGCGAGGCTCCCCAGCTGCCCTGGCCGGAGGCTGCCACGCCGCCTCCTGCAGAGCCTCGGAGGCCTCCCAGGGATGTCTCCACGCAGGGGTCTCCCAGGGGCCTCCAGAGGCCCTGGGAGGCCCATCGAGGACTAAAAACGTCCAGACGCTCGAGCCTGCAACCTCGACCCTCGGCCCACCAGACCCGTACCCTCAGAGCCGCGAGGCTTCTGAGCTGCCCTAGGGGGGGGGGGGGCACCCAGCCCCAGACATCCAACGCCTGGAGTCTTTCAATCAACAGGGTCGCCTGGGGTCCCGCGTTTTTGTTGGCGGTCCCAGGGCCTGGCGAGGGCCGCTGGAGACCGAAAACATGCAGAGAACCTTCCGTCCCAATGTGCCCACGGCGAGGGCATGCCTGGGCACGCATATGCTGGGGCAGGCCGCGGCGGAGGCAGCCACGGGCGGCGCGGCCTTGCACAGCATCCTGCTCTGGGGGCTGGTCTTGACCAGGTTCCAGTTCGGGCCACGCTCGGCCAGCTGGCAGGCAGGTCTTTCACCCTTCCGGGCAAGAGCAAGGAAGAGCGGCACCGCCACCACCACCAGGGACCACCAGCGGGAGGAGGCAGGGGAGAGATTTTCCCTGGTGGTGCAGTCCCTGCCTCTCGCACAAAGCATCCCCCATCCCCAGCCCCCCGAGCTCGGGGAGGTATCGTGGACCACCTCGCTGGAGGAACCCCCTCCTTGATGGCGTCATGCCACGGCGGCGAAACTGCGCAGGAGGATTATGTGGGTCTCGGGGGGCTCTGTCATCGCGGCTGGACGCAGCTCGAAGAGGTCGGCCCGGGTTGGTGACCGCTGCAGGGGTCTGAGGGCGGGCGGCGGCCTTCCACGAAGGCACCCCGTTTGAAACTGCGAGAAGGACCACTATGGAACGACTGCCGTAAAATGCCGACCACTTTCTTTTCACAAGCCCCCCTGGCCGCCCCCCCGCAAGGCGTGCCGTCAATGTCCCCTCAGGTTCCCACCCATGCCCTCCCAAGCTCCTGCGTGTGTCTGCTCGCTCTCTCTCTCGCTCTCGCTCTCGCTCTCGCTCTCTCTCTCTCTCTCTCTTTCCTTCCCTCGTTGCTTCGCTCTCTCTCTCACACTCTCTCTCTCTCTCTCGTTTTCTTCATCTCCCAATCTCTCTGTCTCTCTCTCCCTCAACGTTGGTGTGCGACCTGCTACCGAGTGTGGAGAAGGGCGGGGGAGATCAGGACAACAGGGAGGAGGCCTTCCGGTGGACTGTGGGTGCTAACACGACGCGGAGGTTAGGGGGGGAGGGACACTGGGCACCTGATCCTTCTCCTGCCGACGCCAGGTGATCGCGGGACTAAGGCTTTCGGGTGTTACAAGAGACGCCCTGGCCCAACGTAGCTCCACATTTCCCAAGACAGCTCACCTCCAGAGCAACACTCGTCAGGTCCAGAGGGCCCCAAGGGGGGCTCCAAAGAGGTGCAGAAAGTACTCCACGTCGCTTGGTCGGAGAGGGAGCTCCGTGTTAGACGCCCCGGCTGCCCAACATGTGGGACGCTCTGGCGCCTACACACCGAACCCCTTCGCCGAGCACCTTGGCCCCCTGGCCAGCCCGACGACGTGGCCCCCCGCCGCAAAACTGCGGGCATCTGGGAGCGCAGTCCTTCCCGAGGCGCCCGCGCGGCGCCAGGGCCCGCTGCTCCGCTCCGAGCAGCTGGCAGGCGCCAGCCGTGCAAGGCGGGACCCATGCTCCCGACGGGCCTCCGGGCTTCCGCTGGCCGAGCTGCCCTCCGCCCTGCAATACCAAACCCCGTGGGGCCGTGACGCAAGCACGGCGGGAAGAGATCTGTGGCAATCTTCCGTCCGTGGGGGCCCTCGCCAGGCCCCGGGACCGTCAAACAACGATTAGGCCGGGCATGTCCCACCACAGGCGGATTATCGACGAAAAACAACAAATACTCAAACAATAATCAAACATAACCGAAATATGCTCAACACATCGTCCCCATACCATCTCTATACAATTTTAGAACATTCCTCCTGTAAAGGGGCACGCCCGACTTAAAACGACGACTCAGGGTGAACACCCGGTCCCGGGAACTGGGATCGAGACTCTCGAGGGGTCTGCGCTGTGACCAGAGCACGTCGGGGATCCGGGCCCGCTGGCAGCCAGCGGGCCCTCTGCGCCAGCGCCCATCGAGGGCGGGAGGCCCGCCCCGCCGTTTCCTCCCCCGCCGTGGGCAGGCCCACAACCACGCTGCGCTCTCGGCACCGAGCTGGCAGGCCCACAGCCTCCCGCTCTGCGCCTCTTCTTCGTGACATGCTCCGGCATGTTGGACCCCCCCCCTCTTCCTCCTCTTCTGCATTGCTGTGCCTGCTGCCTACTCCCTTGCACCCCCTCGGCCGATCACCCAATAATCACGACTTGGCAAGGTAAACTGTAGCCGTTTTGGCTCAAGGCCGAGCACTCTAAGGACACTTGGATCCCCATACCGTATCCCATGTTCCTGCACTCCACTCTTGCACCACACCGCTCATCATAGCTTCTCCTTTCTCTTCTCTCGCTCGTGGCACGCGTGCGGCAGGAACCCCGGTCGGAGGTCTACTCCAGGGCGAGGTCGTTGCCAAAAAGACTCGTGTTGAACGTGGTTCCAATTCCCCCCTCGACGACATGGATGACGAGCTGGAGCCAGGTGTCATCGTGCAGTCCGAGGGCGCTAGCGCTTCGCTCCTCGATCGTCGCGACGCTGTCGCGGAGAGGGGTCACGGAACTGCAGGGCCAGAAGGGGTCCTACAAAAGCCGATTACGATGCGGGGCATCGCCGCCTTGCTCAAGGATCAGCCCCACCCCGTGACGTCCGTGGTTGCACAGCTGCGCAAGGACTTCGTCAACCTCGAAGCGAAGGTCACCGCGATGGTTGACACCCTCTCCGGCAGGATGGGGCGCGTCGAAGCCGAGCTGATCAATAATGACATCCGCATCGGGAAGCTGGAGCAAACGCGCGCAACTTAGGAGAAGCGGCCAGGCTACAGCATGGACGAAATTGAGGGCAAGATCGAGGAGTGCATACATATCGCATCGACGAACGAGGCCCTCTCCCAGGAGCCGTGCCCCCAAGCCCCCGTGATTACAGACAAGCGCATAGTGACCATGGTCATTGGCAACTTGGACAGCTTGGGGGACCTCAGCGCCGCCATCGATTGGCTCCAGAACAAGCTCGACCTTTCCTGCGGCCCCCGCCCAAACACGGTGTATGCGAAGGGCGAGTTCAAAGACATCCCGTTCGCGGAGTTCGCTACCACTGCTGTTCGTCAACGGGCAGTCGATGCCCTGCGTGGAGCCACCCTGCCGGCAGGCGACCGGAGAGCGCGGGCCAGCCAGGGCCGATCCCAGCCCGACCGCGCCGCTCGCAATTATTCATTTGGTTTGAAACGCATGTGCAAGGATAACTGGAATATATCTTACGTTGTGCAGATCTCAGACGAGGCCCCGTACAAGACGACAGCGGGTGGTGAGGACGCCGCTGCGGTGCACATCGAGCCATCGTCGCCTTGGTGGGGGCGCCGCCCAGCGAGGAAGCCTGGCGTGACGGCGGCCCGGCGATGACAATCACGAACAAGCAGACGGGTGGGCACCATTGCGGGCCCCAGACGAAAAGGAAGGAGGAGCACCAGTGCGGGCCCCACGAGAAGATGAAGACGCACCATTGCGGGCCCCAGCAGCAGTAGAGGAAGACGCCCAGGCTGCAGCCGGACGACGGGCGACCGGCCCAGCAGCAGCCGGATGGCCCAGGCATGATCTGCGCCACGCGCGACTGAGTTCATGCTGGTCGACCTTGCGGTCGCACAAGAAGCACTCCCACCACGAGTCCTGCGCATTGAACCGAACACATGGCATTTGGATGCGGCAGACAGACGGTTGCGGTTCATGGGGCCAGCCCAGAAATGCAGCTGGGCCCTGGCCTGGCGCCGGCCCTCCTCGTCGAAGGCGATGCCCTGCCGAGCCTGCTTGGCAGGGTGGCCAGCCACGCGCGCAGGGTTGAGGTACGTGAGCGTGCCATCGGGCGCCACCGCGTGGACAGTGGTGTCCTTCTGTGCACGAGCTCGGAGACCGGCCGCTTGCTGCCTCTGGCCCTCCTGCGCGGCAGAGAGCTCGAGGTCGGCTTTTTCGAGGGCGCTCATGGCGCGGCCATGCATGGCTAGGCACTCACTGAGAGGGTCAGCGCCAACGACGCGCTCCCTGACGTCGATCAGAGGAGCACCGCCCAAGGCAGTCGTGAAGGCGTGGTCCATCAGCAACTTGCTCTGCCGGATATCGGGGGCCCAGAAGAACGTCTCGAGCTGCGTGCACAGGGCGCGGCAGCCCATCTGCGGCCTCATCGCCAGGGCGTGCGTCGTCACCTCCTGCGTGCAGCCGAACATGCGCCAGGAACGGGCGAAGCAGCGGACAGGCGCCGCGAACCCCGCGGCGTGCTGCTCCAGCACCTTGATCACCGCCTGCACGAGCATGCCCTTGGCCTTGAGCGACTGGGGCAGGACGGCAGCGGACGGGTGCAGGTCAGGCAGGAGCTACTTACCAGGGCCTTCCTTCACAGGGAGGCGCGTCTGCGTGTGAATCTCGCAGAGCACCGCCAGCTCCACCATGCACGCGGTGCCATGGGAATCTCGGGGAGGAGCATCACAACGGTCTGGCCACACAAGGGTGCGCCACCATTTGAATAAGCGGTCATAGAACTGGCGGCCGTGCACCAGCTGCTTGCTGAATACCGCCGGGGCAGGAAAGCATGCTGGTTGCGCCATGGGGTGGCGAAAGCGGGATTCACGCCCCACACCAGGGGGTGCTGCGGCGGCAGAGTGTCGGCGTCGTCAGCGTCGCCAGGGGCCGGGCCGCCAGGGGCGTCGTCGGCCTGCTCCGCATCGTCGCCGCTGCGCGCATCAAGCATACGGCGCTGCACCGCAAGCTGAAAGCGCTGCACGCGGCAAGCCAAGGCCGCGACCCGCTGGACCTCGGCACGGGCAGCATCGCGAGCGCCCTCGTGCGCGGACCGGCCCCGCTTGGCAGCAGTGTCGGCTCTGTCATTCCCATCCCAGAGATAAGCGTCTATCACCGTGCGGGCATCAGTGAGCTCTGCGTGGGCCTTGATCTTCGTCACCGCCATGCGCCTGCCGGGGCCGGCGCGGAGAATGGAAGAGCGGCAAGGATAATGGAAGACGTGGAAGGAACTTCACGACAACCCGAAAGCGAAAGAGCTTATCCAGAAGAACGCTGATATGTCGTCGCGGGCGGGGCAAGGCATGAAGGGCGATGGCGGCCTCGCGAAGGGGGGCGCCAAGGGGCGCTAGCATGCACCGCACATGAACGCGGTTTCACCCAATGCTTCATCAGAGCTCGCGGGAGCAGTCGGCAATACTGCACGCCCACCGATTGATTATCCATGTAAATCTTCATCATATGAAGCACATGTTTTTCGAGGTGGGAGGCTCACAGTGGCGAGGTCGGGTATCCAACAACCACATGTTTGAATTGGATGTCTACGTTTTGTGCTTACAAGAAACGCACAAACCGAAGTTTGACTACACGGTCACGTGCGAAGGACACTTGCTGGTGTTGTCCGGTTCAACGGAAGATGGCGAGAGCGCTGGGGCTGGATTTTCGGTTTCGCCACAGGCCCGGCGAAGTGTTATAGGCTTCCGCCAAGTTGCATCGAGAATGGCATCTCTGAAAATCCAGGTCAGAGGCGGCAAGATCGTGATGTGTACCGCGTGCGCTCCCCACAGCGGGAAATATATACAGAAGACAGACGGCACTATTCTCAAGAGCTGAATCAGTTCGTCGGCTCGCTCTCTTGCCATAGGCCGGCGTTCCTGTGCGGTGGCCTCAACGCCCGCCTCCACGTCCAGAGGCCCTGTGAGGAGGCCATCATGGGGCGATTTGTCTTCGGCAGCCTGCACGCGCACCACAACCCTGAGTCGAACGGGTCTTTGCTCGCAGAGGTATGTTGCACAAGGAATGTCGCGATCGCGAACACGCTCTCTGACGAGCCAGCAGAGCGACAGACCACTCGCAGCGACATAGCCTCGTCCCCAGCAGGCCCTGTGACAAACAACCATTTCGGCCAGATAGACTTCATCGTCGACTCTTCATCTTGGCTGTGCTCGGTTCATCGGGTGTGGAGCGACACATCTCGAGCGCGTGCTTCCCATCACTTTCTCGCCATGGCGTCAGTCACGATGGAGGTGCCTTCCGAAGGCGGAGCCCCACGAGGACCGCAAGAGAAGAGATCTCACGGCCCTCCAGGAGCCGGATGTGGATCGCATCTTCGCGGATACGTTCTGCGCCCACATGGGGCCCATCGATGAGTACCCGGAGAGCGCCCACGAGCTCAACGAGAAGATGGCCGGAGCTCTACGCGCAGCAGCAGACAAGACTCTGCCAGAAGTTCCGCTGCGCCCGAAGAGGCCGTGGATTTCAAGCGGTACCCTAGAGCTCCTAGGGCAGCGTAATCTGGCAAGGTCGAGGTGCGACGTGAGACAGGAACGCGCTCTACACAGATCGTTGAGGGCATCCGTCAAGGCAGACCGGTCGAAGTGGCTCGAACAACAACTCGCGACGGGGGACTGGTCGCAAGCGCGGAAGCTCCGCAAGGGCTTCGGATCGGAAGCAGGGCTGCCTCCGGAACGCGGCTGGGGAGCTTGTGGACTCCGATTGCCGAGCTGAGGCGCTGGCGCAATACGCCAGCCAAATCCAATGGGGCTGTGCGGCCGACTGTGGCAGCTGGTGCCGCCGACGCCGTCGGCGCCGAGCTACCAGTGCTGTGCGCGCCCGTGTCGGAGGATGAAGACTTCCGGGCTACCTCCAAACTAAGACGGGGCAGAGCTACCGGCAAGGACACGATCCCAGGTTGAGTTCTGGAGAGCACTTTGCCAGCGCGGATCTGCAGCGTGCTGGTGGGCGACCGCACTCTGCAACAAATGTTGGTCTGACGGCGTCGGCACGGCAAAGCGCACGCGATCTTCTTGGTCCGGCGTATAATGGAGAAGACGTGGGCATAGAAAGACGGGCGTGTGGTGCTCCTCGCTCTAGACTGGGCAACGGCATTCGATAGTGTTTCGCCGGATGCCTTGTGTTTGGCCTTGCAGAGATTCGGCATCCCGTCGGATTTCATCCGAATTCTTCGGGCAATTTTTACACAAACTGACCATTCGAAGTCCAGGACGCCGGGTCGGCATCCAGCTCTCACCCGCGGCACTTTGGAATCACCCAGGGCTGCCCTTTATCGCCCTTCCTTTTGCAATTGTGATGACTGTTCTTCTCCACGAAGCAAAGCGGGAGGCGGCGCCCAATTTGGATCTGATGCAGCGTGTGCACGAGCTGGTGTACGCAGACGACACGCTGCTGGCGGCCACCACGGGCGAGGAGACCTCCTAGTACATGCACTGCGTGCAGCCAGCCGGGCAACAATATGGGCTCGAAGTCAGCGGGCGAAAGCCGGAAATTCTGTCTGTGGGTTACGCCGCGTGCATCATGAAAGCGGCCGCGGATGCAATCCCGCAGAAGGAGAACAGAAGTTACCCGGGGAGCTCGATCGCCAGCGATGGGGAGGTCGGCGCGGAACTGTCCCGCCGCCTGGGCGCAGCCAGGGCAGAGTTCGAGGCACTGACAAGAGTGTCGTCCCACTCGACTTTCTGGACAATTCGAGGAAGCTGCGGATCTTCGACGCGTGCGTTGTCAGCAAGCTGCTGTACAGCGTTAACATGTCTGTCTTGAGCAAACAAGAGTTCCGCAGATTGAACGCCTTTCAAGCTAGGTGCCTCCGCAAAATTCTGCGCATATACACACTCTTACATCAGCGGGGTGTCGGACGAGAGTGTCTTGCAGCGTGCGGGGGCCAGGCCGCTGAGCAACGCGCTGCTTCGCCGCCAGCTACTCTTTCCGGGGCCCGTGGCGCGGAAACTGGGCGACGCCACTGTGACACTGACGGTGTTCTGGCCTTTTTCACACCAGCTGGCCCTGCCCATCTTCGGGAGAAAAAAGAGGGTGACCGAGAAAGACATGGAGCTGTGAGATACATGCGCACGCTGTCCGGGCAGCGGGGGGGCGAGGATGCCCTTGCGCATTTTTGGCAAGATTCATTGCAAGCCGTCGCAGCCTTGCACGCGACCGTAACCCAGTATTGCGATGCCCTCTGAGACTGTGTTTTGTGCTCATGTACGTGCTGCACTCAGCTGACTCTCTCTCTCTCTCTCTCTCTAGATCTATACCAGCGCCAGCAGTATTATAGGAAGCATCCGTACTTGGGAATTTCCACGCTGGCGAAAGGCAATTTCGGCTGGCATGGTAACATCGAGCGCGTGAAGATCATAGCGCATCCGGACCGCGAGGCGATCCCTGAGGGATCGACGGAGCGGCTCGACGCCACAGGTAACGACCTGGGGCCCAAGTCCAGCAGGAAGGCTCTCGCCTCTCGCAGCAAGGGTGCCTCTCAGCCGCAGCTGGGGCGCGCAGCGCCCGAGAGACGTGCAACCAACCTCCTCCTCCTCCTGCCCCTGAGGCCCCTCGTCCCCCTCGCTTTCGCCACACGTGGGAGCGGGGTAGGAAGTGGGAAAAGTGGATCTGCGCGCATTGCAAGACGAGATGTGCGGAGAACAAGATGCAGTGCAGAGCTGGTGAGCGTTGCAGAGGATTTCATGCTGACTTTTCTGATCTGGCGCTGGACCCCAAGGGCCACGCGCTGCATGTGTCTCCAGAGCTCCACGGCACAAATTTCACGACTGCGTGCTCGAAGTGCGGGCTTTACAGTGAATCGAATGCGAGAGGCTTAAGCGGGATGTGTGGGAGTAAGTTCAAGCGACCAGGCGCTCGAACTCAGTGGAATCTGCTCTGCAAGGGTCCCAGAAGCTCCCTTCCCACGCCCTCAAGGTACAGATTTCATGTCCGTCAGCGCCAGGCCATGTCCCAACCGGATGACGCCAGGCCATAGGGTGGACGAACCTCCGCCCCCAACCACGTGCTGAGCCTCCTCCCTTTCTTCCTCTTCCTGCAATTGCTCCAGACCACCGACGTCGTGCATCCCGAACGTGGACCACTGGAGGTCTCGAGCTCTTCCCTAAAACCAACTTCTCATCCTGAGCGTCTGGGACCCCAAATCCTTGTGCTGACGGACGGCGCGGTGACCTTGAAATCCCAAGAGACATCGAAGTCCGTGAACGCGAAGTCTTGGGATCTCGGAGGCCCCGTTCGCCCGTGACGCTCTCGGATAACGACCCGAGCCCAAAAACCCTGCGATGACCCCGGATCCCCACTGACTCACCAAGCGGCGTGTTCACCACACACCGTGGTGGGGCCCCCGAGAGGTTTTGTCTTGCTCACTTGCCCAGGACTGGGGAACCCTCCCAGGGGCCGAAGATGACCCCAAGACCTTCCGCTGTGAGCCTGCACGCACGATGCGCAGGGGTCTGGGGCAGCTGCTCCTTCTTGGCGACGCGCACAAGGGCATAGGGGGTGGGGTGAAAGCTTCTCAGAAGAGGGCTGATTCTAAGAAAACTTTCCCCCTCCCCCCACCCCCTTCTGCGCGTGGCCGACCTCCTCGCAACTCCTCCAATCGAAAATGAACAGATCCTTCAGCCACGGGCCCGGCTGAATCGTGTTGGCCTCCGCGCGAGGCGCAGGAAGGGGAGGGAGAGGCCAGGGGGGGGGAAGGGGGAGGGGAGGGAGGAGAGGAAAGAACGCGGGGGCGAACGAACAGACGTCGGCGGAGGCTGAGTCCATACGGAGTAAGTCCATACGGAGTGCTCGTTCTCCTCATGGACTTACTCCGTCTGGACTTCGCCCCTCCTGATAGGAGGCTAAACGCATAAGGAGTGAGTCCATACGGAGTGCACGGTCTCCGTATGGACTTACTCCGTCTGCACTTCGCATCTCCTGATAATTGTTGACCACCGCTGCAGGCAATCGCCCAGCTCGGTTGAGGCCGTGGCATCTGACTTTAAGCGTGTCTGGAGACATGCAACGCGAGACAGATGACAGAAAGCTGGGAGGAGGAGGAGAAGGAGGAGGAGGAAGAGGAGAAGGAGGAGGAGGAATATCATGGTGTCGGCGTAAGCGCGCGTGTCGTCTCGACTTCTCCTTTATGCGTCTGGGATGTTTGCTCGCGTGGAGTCAGTGCACTTGTTCTCGAGCGTCGTCCAGGTGTCTTAGGCTGTGCGCACCGATGCGAAGGAAAGAGGTCCAGGGAGAGGGACGGAGAGGGACGGAGAGAGAGACAGAGAGAGCGAGAGAGAGAACGGGAAGCATGGCTGGAGATGGGCAGGACGAGGGGAGGGGGAGGATGGGGGAGGGGCGTCAAATAACTCCACCCCGCTCTCCCGAGGCCAGCTGCTCAGCTCCCGAGGGCGCGCGCGCGCGGCGGGGAGGAGGGCGGCCGAGAAGGGCAGGCTCCCCGACAGCAGCTCGAAGAAGATGCAGCCCAGAGACCACACGTCGCACTTGGGCCCGAACTTGCCGGACCAGACCTGCGCCGCCAGCGCCGCCAGATGAGCATCGTTTATCCGATCCCTGTCCCCAGCAACGTGGCCTGGGCCCCACTGGCCGATTTACCCCCCTAGATGGGGACATAGGCCGTTGCCTTCGGGTTTCGAGGGGTGTATCCCAAACTGGGAGGGTAATTTGGTGGGGGTCGGTTAAACGATACTGAGCCAGAGTGGAGACCGCCGACGAAGACGACCCTGACATCCGACGTCACGAACAAAAGCATGCAACACCGTACAACATCGCGACGGAACCCCCTACCCCATCTCTGCGGCATGTTTCGAGCCGGGTCGATCCACGTGGGTCCCTGGGCCCGAAATGAGGCAAGATCGCCAGGTGTGAAACAGTTGAGACGCCATGGGGGCGACGGCGAGCGAAACACTCCGACGAGGCCTCCAAAACCAGCAGGGACTCCATCAAACAATATTTACCAGAGTCACAGCGGATCTGTCCACCACAAATTATCCCCGACTTCGTGGGGCTTTCGAGTGGACGAAAATCAATTGGAGCCCAACTCGCGGATACACGACGTTGGGGCGTCGATAATCGATAAGGGTGCGTCCGAACGGCCCCATAGGGGTGTACCCCCGAGCTGCCGTCCTTTTCTGGCGGCCCACCAAGCCACCCCAACCCAACCCAAAAACCCCAATTGAGGCTGCCCATTTCCAGTGGGGGGGGACGTCCTGGAGCATGGACACCAACACCATGGAACCCACACTTCCCCGAACCCGAAAACTTGGGGGGGGGCTCTGGGACGCTCGGGCTCGGTCGGGGTTCTCTGGCCAGGCGGGCCCCGCCAAGCGCCCTCACTCTTCGGGCGGACCTCTCGCCCTGGGGGGCGAGCGGGCGACCAAACACCGCCTGCGACGGAGCACCTCGGCGTGCCGCTCCGCGCGGGGAGCGGCCGTGGCGGCCCGCTCGCCCGACGCGCCCGCTCGAGCTGCCCCCGGCCGTGGCGGCGCGGGGGGCCCCCGACTGCACGCAGGAGGGACCCCGGGACCCCGGGCGAGAGCTGGGCCGCCCTCGGACTGTGGCTCTGGGAGGGTCTCTCCGAGGCCGCGCCCGTCCACGCGGCGGCGAGGGCCGCCGCAACAACTCGGGCGTTGGCGGGAGTGGGTTCCGTGGGAGCCGGGTTGGCGATGTTGATCCAGGGACGACCCCCCCACCCCATTCCACTCACCCGAGCTGCCGTCACCCTAAGAAACCCAAACCACAGCAGACCTGGCTTAGTGATTCTGGTGTGAAATTTTGGGCTTCGGGGCCCAGTCGCTAACCGGCTCCCCTTACCTGGGGTTCTGGCTATATCCGACCCTGGAGGCACTCGAAGACACCTCCGAGAAGCACCGGTTCAGCCTCCAGAGAGGAGACCTCCTGACCCCCCTCGTGTCGTGAACAATGATCGCCATAGGGGGGGGAATTCGTTTACTCTTCGGCCCCTCGTGGCCCTCGCCCAGCCCTGGGGCCGTCAGAAAACAACTCATGACGAAAAGCCAATCCTGAGAATAGGTCGAGACCTCCAGGGGGTCACGTCGTGAACAAAATCCAGGACGTCTGGTGGAACAAAAATTGACATCAATATAAAAACTCGGAGGGCCGCGCGAATTCCTCGGATCGGCGAGGGGTCCTCCCCCTGGCGGCGCCTCCGACGTCGCCCCTGGCGCGCTTCGCGCGCTAGTGAGGGGGTCCCAGCGTCGATCCGAGAAATCCGCGCGGACCTTTAAGTGTTTCTGCTTATGTCAATGTTTGTTCCCCCATTGGGGCATCTCTGCAAGTTCTCGTCGCCAGTTCTGGGCGGATGTTGGCCACAACAACGAGAGCTGTGTTCCTTACATCTCGACAGGGGCGTCGAAGCCACTATGCCCCCACTAAGGGGGTAACTCAGGGGGGTAGTAGCCACAGCCGCCCAAACTACGATCAATATCGAGCACAAGGGCAACAACAACGGTGCAGGACACCATGAAGACGCCGAGTATGCGCAAGACAGATAATCAGGAACCCCACAATGCTGAGAACGTTATAGCCGAGAGACTAAAACAGCAGAAATTACATCACCATAATCTTTGAAACACCGCGCGGAATTCGTGGATCGGCGCTTGACCCCGATGTTCGTGGTCGCGACCCACGAGATCGATTGTTACCCGTTTTGTTGAAAGTTCTGGTATCGGTTGCGACCGATTTGCTTCAAAATGGATCGCGAACGATCGGTCTCGACCGATCTTGGAATCGGCCGCGATCGGCCGCGACCGATCATCGGGTGCCGATCGGTCGCTAACGACCGTGACTGGGTGCCCCGACATGCGACGTCCAGACTATTTCAATACGGGGTCCCCGGAAGTCCCGACCCTCTTCCCAGCTCCAGTTTTTCATCCCAAGCCGTTTTTCTCAGTGTCCAAAAGGCCGTCGAGGGCACCTGGAGGCCGACAATAGAGAAAACCCCCCGCGATGGTTATTCGAGACGCGAGCATGTATGGGTTTGTGTGTGTCGCCACGAAAATACATGCATAGACACACTCCGACGAACTTTGCATGTACCTTCACGGAGCGCGGCCGTATAGAAAGTCGCTGGCTCGCAGTGGAGATGCATACCCCCTCACCCTCCCCTGAGGCCAAGGAACGATACATTAGAGGGTGTCTGTGTATATGACTGTTTGGCGCTGCGTGCGTGTGTGAGAGAATGTTTGTGTGTGTGTGTGTGCGTGCGTGCGTGCGTGCGTGCGTGTGCGTGTATATTTTTTACGTTACAGTTAGGTCGGGCATATCCCCTTTATAGGCGTATTTTGGACTAACCAAAAACACAAACAATGTTCGAAACATGTTTAGAAGTATTTACAACATCGTCCCCTGACTATTCTTTCTATTTTTGAATATTCCTCCTGTAGAGGGAAACGCCCGATTTAAGGCTACTGGTCTCCCGCCGGCGGCAGAGAGGCGGCGGGGTCCTCGGGGGCCATCGTGCTCGGCGTGCCGGCGATCTCCCGACAGGTGGGGTCGGCCACGGAGAACATTTCCGCGACGCCCAGGTCGATGACCTCTTTTGAAGGCCTCCCAGATAAGGTCCGAGTAGATGGGGTCGAATGATCGCGCCGCAGCGCCAATGCATCGCCGATGTATCCGCGATGCATCGGAGACGTCAGCGACGCATCGGCGACGTCGGCATGAAGAACATCGGGTTCCACATCGAGCCGCATCGCCGATGCATCGCCGATGCATCGGCGATACGGCGCGATCCTCCGACCCCATCGACTCCGACCTCATCCAGGAGGCCTAGATCTTTGGCGACGGCAGGCCAGCAGGCCTCCATTGAGAGATCGGAGTACAAGTCGGAATCGGAAGCCATCACAATCCGCCGACCCCGTGTGGGTCTCCAGTCGTGTGAGATTGAATTTCCCCCCCATAATCTCCGGGGACCCCAAACCAGGAATCCCACCATCCCCCTGGGCGCAGGTGATCTAACAATGTCTTTCCTCTTCCAAACACCTCTTCTTCCCCATTCGGGAAAGTGTTTATCACTGTTCAGTTCAGTTCAGCTCAGTTCAATTCAGCCTGCGTGCCAGCTCCGGCGGAGCGGTCCCCTGAGGGGCAGGCGGGACAAAAGTGTACAGCATGCGTGGAAGACTGCGCGCATGGACAAAAGATACATGTGGCAACTGATCAGACTAAACAAGGAGAAGGAGGAGGTGGAGGAGGGGAGAGAGAGAGAGAGAGAGAGGACAGAGGCTGCACTACCTACTGCTCCTGCTCACTAAGAGAATCTTGCCAAAGTAGATGAGGCCGTCCGACTCGTCGTCTGGGTTGGCATCGGAACCACGGTTTCCACTTGAGCAGTCTGTAGCTCCACTTGTCCGGGTTTATCACTGTTCCCTATCAACAAACACCCCCTCCCCCAGGCGACCGGCGGCAAATCGGCAACCATGCTCCCACCCCCCACCAGCCCTATCTACAAAATATACAAAACACACTCTGCCTTCAAACTCGGAGCATGCGCAACCAACCCGATGCGGGCCCCATCCACCATCCCTGTCAAAAAACAATTCAAAGTACACTTTGTGGCAAAGTCTGGAGTCAAGTTCGTGGCCCGATAGGGAGCTCCACCAAAGGCCTGGGAGCCACACATGCGTCCCCCACACCCATTTCGGCACACCCCTCACACGTTTCGTGGCCCCATGGGGAGCTCCACCGGAAGCCCCAGGACCACCCACCGTCCACATGAGTCCCCCACACCTATTTCGGCACACGTTTCGTGGCCCCATACGGAGCTCCACTGAAGGCCCCAATGCCACCGTCAACTTGCGTCCCCCACATCCATTCCGGCACACCCCTCACACGTTTCGTGACCCCATAGGGAGCTCCACCGAAGGCTCCAGTGCCACCGCCCGCATGCGTCCCCCACACCCCTTTCGGCACCCCCCTCACACGCTTCGTCCATAGGGAGCTCCACCGAAGGCCCCAGTGCCACCGTCCATCGAAAACGATATTCACAATCGCGGTACCCACAATTGCATATGGTTGGGCCCTTCGCCAGGATATTTTTTGACAGGGACCGCGGGGGTGTCAGCATATTGCATGCTGCGCGCAGGGCTACCATCGCTGACAAGCCACAATACAACATGCACCTCGCGGCCACACCTGTATCATGCGCGGCCACCCCGCGATCGTTGTCATGTGGTGTTTGACCGGGACGGCGGGGGTGGTGGCGTATGGCTTTCTGTGCGCAGGCCCACCAGTTTTGGTTTTCGACAAAGATGGTGGGAGACGACATGTTTCCTGATGTGTGCCGTCACATGCGCAGGCGCACCTGACACACACACACACACACACACACACACACACACACGCACGCACGCACGCACGCACGCACGCACGCACGCACGCACGCACGCACACACACACACACACACACACACAAACACGCGCGTACACACAAACACACACACACACACACACACACTCTGCACGTGCCCCGAACGTGGCGCACCTGGCGCGGCTTTGGTATGCGGAACACCTGGCGCACGCGGAGGCACGTGGCGCATCTGGCGCACCAGCCGTGCCTGGCACGCTGGGGACCCAGGGGCTCCTGGCGCGCGCGGCGCGCCTGGCACGCGTGGCGCACCTCGCCCAAGCGTCGCGCACATGGGCTCGGTTTTGATTCCCAGTAGCTGCCCATCCAAAGACGACCGCTGAACATGCTGAGGCTCGGGTGTTACTTCTGTGTTGGGAGGGCGGGTGGGAGTGCGCTAGACGGCTTGCTATCTGGAGGGTCTTGACCCCTCCACCGACCCTCTGCCCTGGACCTGGACGGGGTGTTTCGAGAGGAGTTAGGTCCTTTTTCGCCTAATATGGCCCGAAGAGGGCCTCAGAGAGCCCAAGCTAGCCTTTAAGATCGCTCAAGATAGCTCAACATGGCTGAACATAGCTAACAACATGCCTCCAAGAGGCCCCAAGAGGGCCACAAGATGGTTGCAGGTTCTTTTGGCGACCCCTCAGGACCTCCCCGAGATGCCAAACTCCTTCAAACACCTTAAGGACATCGCTCATGTTTGCCTTCTCGCCTTTTCGCTTCGTATGCGCTTTTGAGGCCTCACGATGGCCCTGAGATGGCCCAAGCGAGCTCCAAGAAGGGGCCTAGAGGCCTCCAAGACTGCCCCAAGAGCGCCCAAGATCGCCCCTAGAGGACCTCACGAGCGCCCCAAGTGGCTATTTCTATAGCCCCAGACGGGGGACGCAAACCGAGGACCCCCCCGCCTTTGATTGATGGTCTCCAAGATGGCCTCAGGAGGCGCTCCATAGCTCCCAAGAGGGCCCCGAAAGAGCCCCAAGAGCCCAAGAGAGCCCCAAGAGGGCCCCATGAGGCCCCAAGGCGCCCCAAAAGAGCCCCAAGAGAAGAGGACCCCAAGACCCCCCAAGATGCCCAAAAAGAGCTCTGGGCCCTGGATGGCCCGAACGAGGCCCTCCAAAGCCACCCTTTGCTTCATGAGATCTCTCTGTTCACCCTGGTCGCCCGCTCTGTTTCACTATATGTGTCTCTTCGTCCCTTTCCCCGTCAGCTCTCATGGGCAGGGCTCCTGAATTGGCCGGTGGGGACTCGCGAAGCGTAAACAATTTGACCCCCCCCTAGGCCGCGGACGGCCCCGGTAGGAAAGCGCCACGGGAGGATAGAGGGCCACGCAACGAATCAACAGGGCCCTCGGAGGCTCTCAACACGGTCCGAAGAGGGCCCCGAGTCGCCGAAAGATGGCTGCAAGACGCCCAAAGATGGTTCGAAACTGACAAATCTCTGATTAGCACACGGTGTTTCAACTTTTCCGGGCCGTCGTATTTTCATAGTCCCTACGCCCCACAAAAACCCAAGCGGCCTTCAGAACTGGCCCAATAACTCCCCAAACAGCCCAAGGGGACACCAAAACAGGCCAAATGGCGCCCAAAAGTGCCCAAATGGACCCCACAGCGGCCCCAAGAAAGGTTCAAAAGGACCACTTCGAACCGACAATTCGAAACATCCGCCCGAAGAAAACCCAGGATGCTCCAAAAAAGGGCCCCCCAAAACGCCGGGGAGGTCAACAAAAAGACCCCGACCGACAAACATTATATACTGCGCCTGATGATTTGCAATGTTTTTGGGGTTCCTGTTTTTTTTCGTAATTCCGACGACCCAACGACCCAACGACCCAACGCGATGGCCCAACAGGCCCCCACAAGAGCTCCAAGATGGCCCAATATGGCTCAAGGGCAACCCACAAAGCGCCCACGCTTGCCCAAAGGAGCCCCAATACGGTTCCCAGAAGGGCTGAAGAATGAAAACGCGACACAATAATTTAGAAGTTTTGCCTCGAGAAGCCCTCAAACAAGCCCCAAGTGCGTTCTCGAGCAGCTGCCGCCCAGAATGCTCCGAGGCTCTACAACCAACGCTGTTTGATATTTCCACAGCTGTGTATTCACCCCACGTTTTGCACCAAACGAGCTCTCCTCGTCGGTTCGCATTCCCATCGTTCGCGCGCCACCCATGCCCTCCGCAACTTCGACACGATTTGAACAATACGCCGTCCAAAAAATTGAATTATCTGCGCCCCCGGCGCTTCCACCAAGCTCAGCGAGATCCGCAATGTCGTATTTTTTCGGAGCGGCGCTTGGTGGACTCGGAAAACGTTCTGCGCACTCCGACTGCCTGCGCTCTGCCTACGCGCGGGCGCACCTAGAATTGGGAACCGGGCCTGGCGAAACCGAATTGGGCTGCGGATCCTGAACCGGGAGCTTGGAGGACCCTGTCGCACACTGAAACCAGGGGCGGGGTCGTGTCAAGCGTCACTTGGCACGCCCGAAATGGGCACGATGCCCAACACCAGCATCAACACGTGTTGTCCCAAACCGACAGCGGCCACTGTTGGGCGGGCGATCGTTTCCCTCACATGGGCAAACCTCGCAGCGACACTGACGGCGAGTCCGGTTGAAAGCGGGCACGCACTGCTGTCGGTCTTCGCCCACATGCTTCCCGTACCGGCTTCGGCCGCCCCGATCCGCTAGGACCCTTCAGTGCAAGCACAAAAAGAGAAAAACCCCAATCAGTTGTTCGTACGAAATGTGCCGTGCACCACGTCCACGGCCACGCCGAACACGGCGGCCTCCGCGCTCGCGGCCGACCCCACAGCCGTCGCCGTGGGGGGAGGAGGGAGGGGGATGGACGGGGAGGAGGAGCATCCTCCTCATCGTTCTCCTGCGGCGCACGGCTGTAGCTCCCAGATTAGGTTGGAGCAGGCAGGCGGGCCTCCTCCTCATACTCCTCCTTCTCGTCTACATGCCCGTCCTCTTGATCATCTAGAAAGGGAAAAGAAAATAAACGGAAAAGACGAATAGACAAATGCTGTTCACGCGGATGCAGCGCAGAAACTAAAAAAAAGTTCGAGTGGAAGAGGAAAGGCATGCTTGAGAACGTGGGGAACCGGAAACTTTCTTGCAGAATACGAAAAGGTATGAGACAAAAGATCCGTGACATGAGCGCAGTCTCAACTGCAGACGGAACAAGAAAGAGGACGAGGACGGGGTCGAGGAGGGCGAATGAGAGGGAAGGGGAGAAGGACACACTACGACAAGGAGTGACGGGCGACTGGTGGATGGGCAAGCATGGAAGAAGATGTGTGGGGGTGCGCGAGGTGTTGAAGAGGGCTTGTGGGGGACGGTGGGGGAAAGGGTGAGAAAGAGATGGAAGAGGAGAGCGATACGGATTCGAGGATCTAAGAGGAAACCGACAGTGGGACAATGCGGCGGAAGCCCTCAGGCGGGAGCCCGAAGAGGAAGTTGCCGCGGGACGCCGTGAGCCGCTTACCAGAAGAAGGGTGAAGAAGGGGGGAGGGAGAATGACGCGGAGGACCACGGAGGAGAAAGGATGACGGAGGATGATTTGGGGAAGAGGAAGATTGTGCACCACTGTGAGCTGGCTGTCACGCGGAGATGGAGGAAGAAAGTGAGGCATGAGGGATAATGGGAGGGGGGGTAAGAAGCGCAGAGGCGAAGGAGAGAGCAGGAGAGAGGATACAGGAGGGCGGAAAGAGTCAAGGAGAAGGAGAGGAGGAGGGACCAGGAAGTGGATGAGGAATGCGAAGGGGGGTGAGAGAAGGAGGGCGAGGAAGAGGGAGAAGGAGGTGGAGGGAGGAGCAGAAGGAGGGTCACGGGCGCACCTCAGGGGAAGGCTATTGCCAACATGGGAGGGCTCAGGGGAGCAGCTGCTGGGCAGAAGAAGAGTATCCTCCTCGGCATGCTGCTCCTCCTCCTCCTCCTCCTTCTCCTCCTCCTCCTCCTCCTCCTCCTCGCCTGTGGTCCTTGCCATCAGTGGCACTTTCGTTGCCACTCTGTGAAAAGATCCGCCGACCCAGTCGGCGTGAGTGAGATACTGTCGTCGTCTTTGTCGTCGTCGTCGTCGCCAGGCCTGAAGCCCTGGGCGCCGGCCCCGGCTCTGGCCCCGGCCCCCTGGCCCCCCGGCCCTCCAGCCCCGCTGGCCCAGGCCCTGACCCCCCGACCCCAGCCCGGGCCCCCGCTCCAGCCCCAACCCTAACACCGCCCGCGGCCCAGGCCCTGGCCTCGACCCTGGACCCAGGGCCTCGGAAGCCCAGAGGCGCCTATCCCTGGCGCGGTCGCCTCCCAGACGTTCGCCCCCGAGAAGACACACGGCCCTCCTCCTCCTCCTCCTCCTACTCCTCCTCCCTCCTCCTCGTCTCCTCCTCTCCTCCTCTCGTCCTCCTCTCCTCCTCCTCCTCCTCCTCCGCCTCCATTCTCCTCCGCCTCCTCGTCTCCTCCTCCTCCTCCTCCTCCTCCTCCTCCTCCTCCTCCTGCTCCTCCTCCTCCTCCTGTTCTTCCTCAGCCTCCTCCCCCTCCTCCCCTCCTCCTCTTGTTCGTTCCTCCCCCTCCTCCTCCTCCTCCTCCTCCTCCTCCTCCTCCTCCTCCTCCTCCTGCCCTCCTCATCCTCCTCCTCCTCCTCCTCCTCCTCCTCCTCCTCCTCCTCCTCCTCCTCCTGCCCTCTCTCCTCCTCCTCCTCCTCCTCCTCCCTCCTCCTCCTCCTCCTCCTCCTCCTCCTCCTCCTCCTCCTCCTCCTCCTCCTCCTCCTCATCCTCCCTCCTCCTCCTCCTCCTCCTCCTCCGCCTCCTCCTCCTCCTCCTCCTCCTCCTGCTCCTCCCCCTCCCACTCCTCTTCCTCCTCTGCCCCCTCCTCCGCCTCCTCCTCCTCTGCCCCCTCCTCCGCCTCCTCCTCCTCCCTCCACCGCCGGACCCATGTCCCGAGCTTGTGGCAGGGTCATCAGCTCGTCGATGTCGTTGTCGTCATGGTCGTCGCCGTGGTCGTCGACGACGTCGTCCTCCTTGGTCGGCGGCACCGGCCGCAAGGCCTTCACAATAGTCGTTTTCACAAACTTCGTGCTCCTTGCTCCTCGCTCCGGCTGCTCGGAGCTGGGGCACTCTCGGATTCGCAGCGGGGAAGCTGTGGCCGAGCTGGAAAGGCTCCTCCCCCTCCTGTGCCTCCATGACCAGGTATGGTCTTGCGAGGACGAGGTCCTCCCAGAGGGTTGCCTCACCCCTGGCGCAGCATCTCCTGTGAACCAGCTCCAGCTGGCCTGAACGATAGCTATCTCGCGCCAGCCCGCCTCCCAGCTCCCAACACTGAGCAAACTCCAAATCGCGAGCTCCTACCTGCCCGCGCGGCGCGCGGCTACGTGGCTCGGATAACCCACACAATGCATACACAGCACTCTGAAGCTCGCCGCCGATACACAGACCTCGCGCGAAAAATCAATCCAAAGAGACTGGTGGTATTAGGCGAACCCGTCCCTTCAACAGCTGTGTTTCTCTGTGCGCGCGTGCTCTGACACCTGGGTATAGCTGAACCATCACCACGAATGACCCTCTGGACTGCCTCATGCCCCCCTCCCAGGATTTCCCGAGGCGACTGGGTCCTTCGTCACCAGACTATATGACCGCTTCTAGCAAGCGCAACTAAATTGAAAGGCGCCTCTTAGCGTGGTGCGAGAAGGCAGTGTATTGGGTATGGATGGCAGTCGTCGGATGCAAAGAGGTAGCTGGCGTGATGACCACTGCGAACGGCTCATCGAAGTTCGGGTCCTTGCGCAACAGCATCACGTTCTCGTCCTGAATGGCGGGGCGACGGTTCAAGTCCAGAGTGCGAGAGCCCCGACTAGAGGCTTCAATGGAGCCAGCGCTTCGAACTTTCGGGGAAACTGGAGCCTCTTTTGCCAGAAAAGGAACTGTTCCGACTTCCGGCGCGCGGAGCGCGCCAGGGGTGGCGCCAGAGACGTCGCCACAGGGCCCAGCCCCGATCCAGGAAATCCGCAAAGATCTACGATGATCTACGATATATCAGTGGCGTTTGTAGTCCCTCTTCCATGCTCTGGGGTGTCCATTCTGCGCAGGTCTGGAGGTCGCCTTCACTGACTACAACACTCAGCACAGCCAAGCTATAACGAGCAAGACAAACAACGTGTTTTGATATACACTTTTTCGGCGTCCCCTCGTTTGTTGGCGGCGCGCACGACAGGGTACGGGGAGTGGGGAAGGCTTCTCAGAAGGAGGCGGCTTCTAAGAAGCCTTCCCCTTGCCCCCTTGCGCGCCAATGAGATTGGCTCCAATACATGTACACAAATCCGAGGTTTCCCTATATTTTCCATTTTCTCTGGATGTTCGTTTTCCCCTCCACTTTCCATGTTCTCCATTTTTCCTGGGAACTGGCGATTCGTTGTGACTGTGTTTTCTCCCACCTGATAAAGGGCCGCGCGAAGATTCCTTTCGCATGCCAGCAGTGAGTATCGTTTAACCGATCCCCATCCCCAGCGGCGTGGCCTGGGCCCTGCTGGCCGATTTACCCCCCCTAAGATGGGGATATAGGTCATTCTCCTCGGGTTTCGAGGGGTGTATCCCCAACTTGGGTCGTAGTTTGGTGGGGATCTCGAAGGGGATGGAGATGGGGATGGGGATCGGACAAACAATACCGAAGCAGCTCCCCTGTACGTGCGTGTTCTCTTTCCCGACGCCTATAAGCCCAGCATGGCCGAGCCCCCGGCGCCGCGGCCGCACGGAAACTTTCAGCAGGGACCAACCGTCCTGGCATTCCTATATCCCATAGGCTCACCACAATATGTTCTTAAACCCCCAAATGCCCTTAGGACGAAAACAATGTTCTTATCCGCCGGCCCCCTTGTGGGGCCACCAGGCTGTAGGCGCGAGGTTCGCAGTTTCCTGTACCAGTTGTAGCTTGTAGTTTCCAGTGTTACAGTTCTGCTTCTTGCTGGTTACTGTAACTAGTTGACGTATTGCTGGTTACTGTAACTAGTTGATTGACCGCGCGAGGGGGGGGGAGGCCCAAACCAGATTTTTAGCGGGCGCGTTGTCTGAATTGCTGGGGGGGCTCGAAATCGACACCCCTCACGCAGATCCACGGGGTCAGGGTCCAAAAACACAAGGGATTTGCAACATTTCTGAAATTCGGTGCCACCCCTCACGCAGATCCGCGGGGTCAGGGTCCAAAAACACAGGGATTTGCCACATTTCTGAAATTCGGTGCCACCCCTCACGCAGATCCGCGGGGTCAGGGTCCAAAAACACAGGGGATTTGCCACATTTCTGAAATTCGGTGCCACCCCTCACGCAGATCCGCGGGGTCAGGGTCCAAAAACACAGGGATTTGCCACATTTCTGAAATTCGGTGCCACCCCTCACGCAGATCCGCGGGGTCAGGGTCCAAAAACACAGGGGATTTGCCACATTTCTGAAATTCGGTGCCACCCCTCACGCAGATCCGCGGGGTCAGGGTCCAAAAACACAGGGATTTGCCACATTTCTGAAATTCGGTGCCACCCCTCACGCAGATCCGCGGGGTCAGGGTCCAAAAACACATGGGATTTGCCACATTTCTGAAATTCGGTGCCACCCCTCACGCAGATCCGCGGGGTCAGGGTCCAAAAACACAACGGATTTGCCACATTTCTGAAATTCGGTGCCACCCCTCACGCAGATCCGCGGGGTCAGGGTCCAAAAACACATGGGATTTGCCACATTTCTGAAATTCGGTGCCACCCTTCACGCACATCCATCGCAAGGCGTGGTAACCCAAACTGCGAGAACTCCCTCGGCCCTTTAATCGCAAGGTGTGGTAACCAAGCCCGTAAACCATACACGTCTTACCAATCGCCAGGTGTGGTAACCCCTCTTGTGATCAGTTGGTTTTGCTGATTGCGAATCGGCTTCGCATGAAGTTTCGATACTGCTTCACGACAGCGCCAAGGCCTCATGACTTAGCTCTTCCATGGCCCATTCTCCGAGAGAGGGGGCCGGCGGCAGGGGGCGAAGCCCTTACGGATAACATGAACCCGATGTGTTAAAATAAGTCAGTCCCAGCCAGAAGTGCTCTGAGATAATTTCGTGGAAGCCACACCATGTTCTTAGAACATTGCTCGGCAGGCCCGCAGGCGAGCCAAGACGCTTCGCCACTGCGTGAAACCGATTGCCCCGGGAACGCGCTGGCCCGGGCCACCCGGGGCCCCGGCCCGCAGCCAGGCCGGCCACACAGCAGATTCCAGGCCCGAGCTCGCCCAACTTCGCGCATCGCGCCCCGCGGTGTGCGAACGACTTCGCGCCACCGCGCCGCCCCCCCCCCGGAAACAGGGCAGCTCTTCAGTCCAGGCCGCGACGCGCGAAGCCCCACTCTCCTCGAGCCCTCTTTCAGAAGTAATGTCGAGCATCCAGACACGTAACGAAACAGCGTCTGCCCGACACGCTGGCGAAGTGCCGAACGAGGATCGCCTCCCAGGGCTCGACGCTCGAAAATCTCTCTGGCGGTCAAAGCTAAAGTAGGCTGGAACATCATGAACCTAGAGACCAGGGTCAATGCAAAGCCAGGTCAGTCAGGCTTTGCAAGATCCTGCAAGATCCAAGAAGGACCCAGCGAGATCCCGAACGCAAGCCCAAGTGAATGCGTCCCTGGCTCTGCAAGATCCAGCAAAATCTAGCGCTCTGGCTGACCCCCGTTCGCATTGACTCCCGTCTCGAGGCCCCCAACCCTCGCGGATGATCTCTAGAAAACCGGGTCGGCGGCGGAGAGGCGGCCCCACCTGGCTCAGCCAACCCTGTCGTCGCCGCGTCCTTTTCGTTTCTGTTGTCTGCGCTGTTGACTCCGCCGCAAGCGTGTCGTCGACGTCGTCGTCGTCATCGTCGTCGTCGTGGGGGACTGGCTGGCTCCGGTCTGGCGCTGACCCGCCTGCGCGCGCATATCATCCTTCCACCCCTCGCGGGGCCCGCGAGGAGAGGAAAGCAGGCTTCCAGCGCCTTCAGGTCTTTGTGGATCAGCCGCAAACTGTGGCAATAGGTCATCGCGTCCGCGACCTGGCCAACAACCTTCCGCGGGGCAGGGAGGGAAAGCACCCAGACCCCTGGCGTTGTGGAAAATTTGCGACAGAAGGTTTGGGCAATTTTCATCCTCTGGTAGAGACGTGGAGGAGTGACACCATCAGCTCGAGGGACCACCAACGGGAGGAACCAAGGGGGTGGTCCCTGGGCGGTGTGGTTCAGCCCACTCGCGCTCGAGACATCCCCCAACCCCCTGCTCGAGGAGACATCGTGGACCTCCTCGCCGGAGGTGGTGCATCGCCGGGCTCTGGGACCGTCAGAATCGTGGACCTCCTCGCTCAACACGAACGACCCAGAAGGAAGAGCCCGCCCAGGGGGGAACGGGTCGAGACCTCTGGGGGTCCACGCTCTTGCGGGAGAAGAAGTTACACACGCGTCGGGGGCATGGGGAGGAGGCGGGATCGGGCACCTGGGGGGAGGGTCGAGGATCGAGGATCGAGGATCGCGGAGGGAGGCTCGGATCGAGGATCGCGGATCGAGGATCCAGGACCGAGGATCGAGGACCGAGGTCGAGTATCGAGGATCGAGGGTCGAGGATCGAGGATCGAGGTTCGAGGATCGGGGATCGCTGATCGCTGGGCAAGGGAGGAGGGTCCGAGGATCGAAGAGGACCGATCTGCTTCGAAGTCGACAACCTCCCCCCGGGCGAGGATACACGTCGGTCGGAAGAAGTAGGTAAAAGCATGGAGTAGGAAGGCGGATATAGTGGATTGGGTCCATGCCCTCCCAGGGAACAACAAAGCACAGCAAAAGCATGTCGATTATTGAAATAGGAAGGCGCGTGAAGTAGATCGGGATCTGGGAATCAGGAAATACCTACTTTCAACGACCGGCGTGTAGTGACGAGCAGCAAAAAACGTATGGCTTGTTGCAAGACGTTGGTGAATTCGGGCCCTTCCTCCGTCGAGCGGGCCTTCTGGATCCAGCCCTCTTGGAGGGCCTTCTTCTTCTGCTGCATCATTAACAACACGTTCTGCAGCGTGCCCCCCTTCAGGGCCTCGATCACGAGGTAGATGCTGGTGGCGGCAGCAGTGTCGTCGTCGTCGTCGTCGTCGTCGTCGTGCATGTCCGAAGCTCGAGGTTCGGGGCCGGAGATGACTGGACGCGCTGGGAACTGTTGGGGCGTCTGGCTCCCCACCCTCGCTGGAGGCCCTTTGAAACCTCCCAAAAGCTCCAGAGACGGCCAGGAACGGCCAGGAGAGCTCCCATGGCCGTCGCCGTCGCCGCCGCTATCGCTGTTCTATGCAGTGTCGTCGTCGCCCTCCTCCTGCCCCTCCTCCTCCTCCTCCTCCTCCTTCTCCCCCTCCTCCGCTCCGAACTGTCCGCCCCAGAACTCTCGGCCTCTTTGCAGGTACAGGTGCCGCATACAGAGTCGTTTCGCGGCGGCCCCAGGCCGAGAAACACTTGGAATGTCGCAGAGTGCTTAGCCATGCGGGCGGGGGGGAGGCAACGATGGAGGGGGACTGGCACAGGGGGGGATGCATCGACCTGGAACCGGAGACCCATCGTCGATAGATCGGCGATGGGCACCCGATCGTGAATCCGTACGTTCCTGGGCAAGTTGGGGCTATTGGACACCCATCGGCGATCCATGGGCGACTGGATGTCGATGCATCCCCCTCGTGGCCCATCCTCCCCCATCGTTGCCCCTGAAGCGGGGGGGAGCAGGACAACGCCCCGAGGCCGAACAAGCTGCCCACAGAGGATGCGGCTGGTGAGGGCCCCCCACCTGGCTTTGGCCCAGCCGTGGGAGGCCTGGGGACGAAGGGCAGGGCATCTGCTCTTGCACTGGCGCTGCACTGTACAGCCACCGCACTGCCACAAGCCACAAGAAGCGCATCACAAGGAACGAACGGATTGTTCTGGCAACGATGGGCCTAGGCCACAAAAAGGTCCCACGACACAAATCTAAGGGTAAGGACCCGAAAACCGAGCCCCTCCCGAGCCCAAAGCCACAGGACGAGCCAAGAATGTTCCAAAAGACCCTCACGAAACCACGTCCTTTCTGCGTCAACATCTGAGGACAGCACTGCCACCCCCGAGTCCCCCCCCCACTCACAACTACCCCTCCCTCCATTCCCCCCCCCCCTCCCCTGAACCTCCGCCTCCACTTCCTCCTCCCCATCCTCCTCCCCCTCCTCCTCCTCCTCCTCCTCCTCCTCCTAATGCGGCTCCTTCCCCCTGGTCGTCCTCCTTCTCCTTCTGCCTCGTCGTGGTCAGCGTCCTCATCTTCGGGGTCGGCGGCACCGGCCGTAAGGCCTTCGCAATCTGAGGGTAACGACCCAGAAACCCGAGCCCATCCCGAGCCCGAAGCGGTCCTCGTGTCAGCGTCTTGTCTGCAGATGTGCGGCCCTCTGCAGGCTCGCCGATGGGCCCGCACCGGGTCCCGCCCAACCTCCGAGGGCCCCGCGACGCCCGCGTCGCCAGGAGGGTGCGCACAGCGTCTTGCCGACCCTCGAGACTCGACGCTGGTCGATGCCAGCCGATCCTAAGTCGGAGCGAGTCGAAGCTAGCTCGACGCATCTCACCGACAAGCAGACGTGAATCTACGCTACTGCACTCCAAGAACGAGACGACGAGGGCATACAAGGCTCACTGGATCTGCTACCGAAGATCCTCGATGTTTGATATTACGGACTGTTGAACATATCGCCACCTATTGGCAACGTTGAAATGGCGGGCGGCAGCGGCAATTCATGGGGGTGAAAGAGAGGTGCGCTCCTCCACCTTTTGCACGCGGGGTGGCAGTTGAAGGCCACTTCAGGACTACTCTCGAGCGTTCTGGGTTGTCCCCCTCCCCTCGGATGATCGCCGCCCCGTTGGAGCCTGCACGAGTTTGGCCCCCCACCCTCCGCCGCCTTTTCAAGCAGCGCTGGGGCCCCGAAGGATGCATTCGAGACCCGACCCGCGTGAAGTGCAGAATACCTTCTGGGCCTCGCCTCCATCCCCCCCTCCCCTCCTCTCCCCTCCTCCGTGCAGGTGAGCGTGCCAGGCTCTAAAGAGACGAGATGCATTCCAATCTGCGAATCCTGGATCCATGGCTGATGGCCCAGGGTGCGGGCAATACTTCTGTCCATATCCACTGCAGTATGGAGTTTCGGGCTCCCTTCCCAAGAAGCCCGAGGCGCACTGGAGATGGATAAACTTGCACCCCCTAGAGGCTCGATGTGTATCCATATCCGGTGCGCCTCGGCCTTGTGGCGTCGCCTTTAAGAAAGTTCAAGAGGCACTGGATATGGGCACGAATCTTGCCCGCCCAGCGGCCCAAACCACGAGCCCCCGGGGCCGCGGTCCAGGAGCACGCTCCGAAGCAGATCGTCGGAGACCCGGGCCCCGCTCTCGGCCGCCGCGCTCGGGCCTCGGCGCGCCCGGGCCTCGCGAGGGCCGCGGCCACCTTGCCACAGAGACTCCGCCCAGCTTCGAAGTCAAGGCGAGCTGCCGTCGCGTCTCGCGGCAGCCCACGGCACGCTCAGCGCCCAGCCCTCGTCTGTCGCAGTCAACCTCCTGTTTCCCTGTAGGAGCGATGAAAGGATATTCAACTAGATTCAGGGGCCCTTCGGCGGGACCAGGCCGGAAGAAACCCGGGATTAAGCCCGGGACTTGCGGAACTGAGCAGGGTTGTGCCAGAACCAAACCATCTCTAGCACCCCAGTGGGACCCAGATTCAGGCAAAGGGCCAAGAAGGCGTGGGCGTCCTGCTGGTGTCCTCGTACCACTCGAACAAGCGGACGACGTGCGGGTGGTCAACCTGACAGAAATATAATCAAACCGTGCCTGACTCGGGGACACGAGACGAAACCCCGCACGCGTGGCAGCAGACAGGAATCGCAGTATACAGGGACGCAGGTGATGCAGCGGATGAGTGCCAGCAGGATGCACATCGATCGATGTTTGCACTGCTGGTCGGATACAACTCAACTCAACTCGACATGGTCCTCGCCCCGGATGGATACAAGAGTCTCCGTGAGCCCCCCTCTGATCCGCGGAACCCCGGAGCAGTCCAATTTTCAATGCATCAGACAACACGCCCAGTCGTTCGGAAGTGCGACTGGATCATTGCAGTGTAAACTTCTCATGTGTACGCATGTTTAAGCGCTTATGTAATGCATGAGGTACATGTTATCAAACAACAGTCGTAGCAAACGGGGCATAACCATGTACGATGATCATCGCGCACGCTTCGCGCGCGATCCAGCACACTGACTGCCGCGATAAACACGCATGATTCCTTCACCATTTCCTCCCCCTCCTCCTCCGCATCTTCCTCTCCCCTCCCCTTCTCCTCGTTACCCTTCAGTCATTATCCACCTCATAATCCGAACCCTGCTTCTCATATGTCCTTTCCCGCCTTGTCCCCAATATCTCTTTGCTGCATTCCGTTTGTTAGTCAATCCCTACCCCAAAACGTTCCAGGGTGTCCCTGCAACGATTCTGACGGGGGCCCAACAAGGCCAAATAAGCAACTTTATACCTAGGCAAGGTCCACGCGGGCAGGCGAACGGCCCGAGAGCGGCGCAAGAGAGATATAGAGGGAGAAGGAGCGACGGATAAACAAACGAGACATAAGAGAGAGACAGAGAGAGAGAGAGACAAAAGACAACGAGAGAGAGAGACATAACGAAAAAAGAGAGTGAGGGAGTGTGAAAGAGAGAGAGAGAGAGAATTAGAGAGCGCGAGACAGAGAGGGGGGCATCGAACAAGTAAACGGGGGTCCCGTCGACAGCCGGCTACTGCGGTAGCCGAGGCCGCCATCGCACACCTTGGGGAACAGGGGATGTTGAAACACCCCCCCCCGGCGCTAAGCGACTGAGGTAACAGGACGGGGTGGTGAGCAGGCGATCCGCCACGTCTCTCTACGCCCCGCGTGGGAGAGAAGCAAAGAGGCCCAAATCGGCAAAGCCCCGGATGGCAGCCGGGGGACAAGGGCTTGACCGCTAAGCGGCTTGCGAACGACGGGGCGTCCCCCGCCACCGCAACCCGGCCCCGATGGCGCGTGGCCGCGCGGGCAATCGGGCTGCCAAGAAAAGGGGCCTACGGCCGTGGTGACAGCGCCATGCGGGCTTGCATGGCACCATGGAGGTCATGCAGTGTTGGGACGGGTGACGCCCCGTCAGACGAAGGCGAGGGGCGGGGAAGGAGGCAAGGGCAGCCTGAGCGCGTCGCAGGCGTTGCATCGGCAGGCCCTGCTGGGAGGTCAGGGAGCGAACCTGGCGCGACAGCGCGGTGTGCAGGACGCGGAGCACGAGGCGGGCGGGCGGCAATGGCCCTGCCGGCGGGGTGCGCGGCGAGGTCCGCGCGGCGGTCAGCACCTCGCGCGGGCACTGGCTCGGGCTTGGGGGCGACGGCGGACGTCACCGCGGGGCCCCGTCGACCGACGCGGCTCCGCTCGGTCGGGCGAAACTGCCTGTCCCTCCTCCCCTCCTTCCCCCCGAGCTTACATGTTCTCAGTCATCCCTTGTTCGATCGGCGCCCCTTGCCCTTCCTCAGACCTCCGAGATCTCGATGTGTTCACCGCGTGTTTGCCCCCTCCCCCTTCGCCCCTGCGCCTCCGAACCATTGGCCTATCACTAATCCCTGGCGCTGCTTTGTCGTCCTCGGTCGCTGCCTGATTGGCGCCCAAGGCCAGAACAGCGGCATCCGAAGCACCCAATAGCCAAGAAGCGCCCATAGTGATCGTGTTGCGCCCCGCGGCCCGCGCCACGCGATTGTCTTCGCGCCCTCGCGCCCTCGCGATACCCCCTGGAGAAGGGCCGCCGCCGCTCTGGCCCAGACAGCGAAGCGCGAATGTCCGAGCGCCCCCGCGGGTGACATAAACATGTTGGGTACCATACCGCTTGGGTCGTCGGAGCGTCGTCGCCTGCCGAAGGACCAGGATCTCCTGCTCTATCTCGTCCAGCGGCTTCGACGTCCGGGCCTTCGCCACGACCTGGACTGCTCCGCTGCTCGCGGCACGCCCGGCCGCTCCAAGCAAGATGAGGCTGACGACAGGGAGGGGCAGGACGGACCGGAGGGAGAGGGGGCAGGAGGAGGAGGAGGAGAAAGAGGAGGAGGAGGAGGAGGAGGAGGAGGAGGAGGAGGAGGAGGAGGAGAGGGCGGGAGGAGGGGGCGGGAGGAGGGGATATGTCTGTTTTTCAACAAACCTGCGCCCCCTGAGCTTGGTCACCGCGCTCCGCAGCGGAGAGAGCGCGAAACGGGAGGGGGAGGGGGGGAGCTGGGTGTTTGGCGCACCCGTGGGACCCCTCGTTGCCAGGTCTGGGTCCGCCGAGATGTCCTGGTCGAAACGCGCTCCGACGGAGGTCCATGGGTCGGTCCGGAAGGAAAGTAGGGATGGCTGGGGAGGTAAAACGGAAGCGAAACAGGGGAACGAGGGATGGCGGAAGAAAGGGAGCAGGTGGTAGTGGGATGAGGAAGTGAAACAGCGAGCAAACAAGACAAGTACAGGGAGCAGGGGGGATAACATATTGACAAAAATATAAAACCCGAAGCGCCGCAAATCCATTGAAACTATCCCTCCTCCATAACGCGCACCCCCCTCGTCGTTTGCATCATTCGGTAAGAAGATCGTGAAGCTGAGACAGCAATGTTTTCCCCTGGGGCTCGCCGTACAGCCTGGCCCTGTTCTGCCCACGGAAACCAAGCCAAGCGGCAGAATATGAACAGGAGTGTACAACTTCTTCTGCCACCATGGTCAATCAACTATTCGCTGGCAATCTACATGTGTGCGCATGCATGAGGACATCTGTGTAGATATATATATATATATATATATATATATATATGTATACACTAGCAATAGAACCACGTGTGTACTTCGCTCGTGCTTACCTTCTAGCAAACTCTAGGTGCAGTCTGAAAAGTCCTCGGCATGGGAGGTCACACGGATCGTGCACCTCAGAGAGCTCCTCCTACGTCCCCAGAGACAAGGTTCGCATAGCAGCACGCCCCTCACGCGGATCGTGCCCCGCTCGTTTATGCATTTGCGGCACCAGAGGGGAGCTTCCTGGCGTCGCCCAGCTCACTTCGGCACACCTCTCACACGGATCGTGGCCTGCAAGGAATTCCATGGACGGCCTCAGAGACAAGGTTCGCATCCCGCCCTCCCGCCTACTTCGGCACACCTCTCACACGGATCGTGGCCCACAGGAATCTCCACTGACGGCCCCACAGGCAGGGTTCGCACGGCGCCCCCTCGGGCCTTTGCGGCACACCCCGTTACGCGGATCGTGCCCACAAGAGAGGTTCGTACAAGGCCCCCATGCCCATGTCGGCACACCTGTCACGCGAATCACGCTCCAGGAGGAGCTCCACATATGGCACCAATGGGCAGCGTCGAATGGCGGCTCCCCGCCGATTTCGAAACGTGCGTCGCACCGGGCGTACCCGGAGGAGGTCCATCGCCCATGACTTGTGCACGCCACGGAAATCCCTGCCCTGGACGCGCCACCTTGAGCGGGAAACTTACGCGCGAATGTCCACCAGGAGCACAACATGACGCCCCAAGATGCACCCAGGAGGCCCCGAAGACGCATCCAAGAACAGAACAAGCAGGCATCCTGACCTACGACAAGGCAATATGCGCAATCCAGGTCTGCTTCCATGATTTCGGCTTCCGAGGCCCGCTTCCGGGCCTGGGCCCAAGGGCCAGCAAACATGAATCTGGGACAAACACCTGTCCCCAGAGGAGGGGTCGGGTCCCCGCGGGCCGCGCATTGAACAAACACATATCTTGCCTTGCCTAGGGAGGAGCAGGGAGGACGGATGAAGCAGCAGGATGTCGGAAGGGGGCGATGAGAAGGAAGATGGCGTTTTCACTCCGTCCTCCTCCGTCCTCCGTCCTCCTTCACATCCCCCTCCTCTGCCACATTCCGAACAAAAGATTCGGCCAAGGTCGTCACCCACCCACCACTCGCGTCAACACAGTCAGAGCAGAAACTCCGAACTCCAGCGGCATGGCATCGGCTCCGCCGAGAACGCTCAAACCACTCCGCCTCTCCCAGCCACACCCTCTCCTGGCCCTTCCCCCTACTCGGCCCTCCTCGGTGTGGCATTCGCGGCAGAGGCAAACGGCGGTGGCGCTTCGGGGTGGTGGTGCTGGAGGCGGGGTGGTGACCGCCTTCGGGGCCTTCGTAGACGTTGACGGTCCTCCCTCCTCATCTTGCCCCCTTTTGCCCCCACCTTCCCACAAAAGGGGATGGAGGAGAGCCGCGAGGGTGAAAGGGAGGTGGGAGGATTGACGTTGGGTCAAGACGGCGTCAGATGGTGTCAATGAGAAAGAGAATGACGCCCCACAGCCTCTGCGTCGTTGCGCTCGCGATGGCCGCGAAAGCCCAGGCGGTGTTGGACACGCCGTCTACGCCTGGCTCGGCTTCCGCTTCCGCTTGCGCTCCCGCACGACCTGATGGCTGAGCCCCCGAAAGAGGAGCGGGGCAGCTTCTGAGAGCAAAGCCTGGTTCTGCATGAGCTCGCCCCACCCGGGAGTGCTCTGGACCTCCGGCAGGTTCTTCAGAATGAACTGGATGCATCGGAATTTGAGCGTCTTGACGTGAGCCTGGGCACTCGAAGCCACAACGAGCCAATCCACCACGTTCGCCACTGTAATGTTCCCCTGGGCCACCGCTGCGCAGGCACACATCAGGCCACGAACTTCATACTTCAGAGCGGCGTGCAGAAGCTCATGCACTGCGTTGATGTCCTTCCACACAGTCTTATCCTCAATGGAGCCTGTGTAAATGAATTCACAGAGGCGGCGTACTGCTACGCAGCTCATCCCCTCGATCTGTACGATGCCGGTGGTGCTTTCTACCATCGAGGTCGCAAACATCCGCTCAAAAACAGGAGATCGCGCTGCAAGAATCAACTTGTGTGCTCGAACGTCTTCACCTTGCACCTGTAAGACAACGTCGCTCAAATTACCAGAAGTCCACAAATGTCGGAAGTCTGTAATCAGATCATTGCCCTGCTCCCAGTCTGCATCACCAGCTACCTTGATGATTGTGGAGTCCCAAAGCAAGCTCTTCTCTGTCAAGTGCTGCTCATCACCATCGCTGTATCGAATTTTGTAGAGACGCGAGCCTGAGCTCTTTCCGATTTCAATTGCTTCCACGACTGCCTCGAACACTGTCCCTGCCACAGTAAGCTTAATTGTCGCTAAAAATCCGCCATCGTGCCGCCGGGCACTCAGTGGACTCAGTAGAGCAACGAATACAATTCAAAAGACCGACAGCCCCGAGAACCGTGCGCTTTCTTGGGCGCTCCTGGGGGTTGGGGCGCATGCCGCGTGACTTCCCTGAAGCCAAGAGGGGCCCAAACGGGCCACGAGCCCAAGAAGCCCACAAGACGGCCCAAGTGGACCCCAACAGCACCCCCAAGAGGGTCCCAAGCGGCCGCAAGAGTCCCCCAGGGGACTCGAAGACAACCCAAAACAGCCCCCACGAGGCTTCGGAGAGCCCTCTGGAGAGATCCCCACTGCCTCGAAAGGGTTTTTTCTCCGAACAGCGCCACACACGCCCATGCATAGGGGATGTCCACACCCGTGCCGCCCGTTTTTTGTAGCGCAGTCCTGTTACTTGTGGACCACCATGGGGATTCAGGATACCATGTCATTACTTCGGTATGTACACGCCCACCACGACGCCTGTCAATTATCCGTTCCGTGTCGAAGAAAATCGTGACACATCTCACTGCGTGTTAATACCGCATGGTGCCAAGAACAGACCTTCGCGGAATTTTCGCTTCGCACAAGCAAATCCAAGCAAATAGCAAGGCCGTCTAAGGCGAAGCTGGGCCCAAACCAAGCAAAACCGAGCACATTGAGGACGTCTCAAGCGAAACCGGGCCCAAACCAGACCGAACCAAGCACATGTTGAGGACTTATCAAGCAAAACTGGGCCCGAGCCATGCCAAACAAGGGGCCGAACCGTGCAGACTCCGAGGATACCTCCGGCGGGGCGCGCGGCCAAACCATGCCAAACCAGGGGCCAAACCAGGCAGATTTGAGGACGTCCTGGTCATGATCGCCGAAACCGGGCTGCATCCACACTCCTGAATAAGACTCCAACTAAAGGAGTGGACCACCCCAAGGCCCCCCCTCCCCCGCGCAGGCGGAAGCCCGTTCAGAACTGCACGGGGGCGGGCGTTTGGACCGCGCGCCCTCTGATGCGGTCGGGGTTGGGAGTAGAAGTCGTCATTTGTCTTTGGGTTTGGGGCCTTGGTGTGGCGTTGGGAAAATACTTCCCAGCCTGTAGAGACATCCGAACAGGCCTTCGACCTAAAAACTCAGGCGCGGTGGCGAGATGGGCTGAAGGACACCAGATCCGCCGCCCCCTGTTGATTCATCACAGGGGTGCCTGGCGTGCTGAACCCTCTAGGTTTTGGTTTTGGTTCTTTTTCCAAAAGAACTCCCCCTGGGGCTTCGGCCCGTCCCGCCGGCCACCCGGAAGGCCCCCAATTCCCCAATTTCCTGCCCAAGACGGCTCCAAAAACGGCCGTTTCGCTCGGGACATCCTCAACAAATCGCGAAGATGGCCCAAGATGGCCTCCAAGTCCGCCCAAGATGGTCCAAGACGGCCTCCAAGACGGCCCAAGAGGCCTACACGTCCAAGATGGCCTCCAAGACGCCCAAGATGGCCTCCAAGACGGTCCGGGCCCCAAGTCGGCCCATAGAGGCCCCCCAAACGGCTTCCGACGGCGTCAGACGTGCCAAGAACCCACCAAGATGGCCGAAGTTGGCTCGAAGCTGGCCCAAGAGGCCCCCAAGAGGGCCTCCAGGAAGGCCAGAAGAGGCCAAAAACATTTATTTTCCGGAGGTTTCTGACGGATTTTGACATTTGCTTCTTTTCGGCCTTCCGACGGCCCGAGACGGCCCAAGAGCCCCCAAAGATCGCCGAAAGCTTGCCCAAGAGGCCTCCAAGGCGGCCAAGATGACCTTCAAGATGCCCACGTGTTCCCCGAAGGCTTTCCAAACCGATTCGGGGAACACATGGTCCGATGGCTTGGCAGGTCTGGCCTCTACGTTCGGCCACATAGGCGCTTCCACAAAGGCAGGGGGCGGCGGTGATTCGCCGTAGGCGTCTTCGATCCGCCGCCCCCTGTCGATTCATCGCAGGGGTGCCTGGCGTGCCGAATCCTATCAGTTTTGGTTCTGGTTCTTTTCCAAAAGAACTCCCCCTGGGACTTCGGCCCGTCCCGCCGGCTACCTGAAAGGATACCGAAAGATCTTCCAAAGGTGGTCGCAAAAGGTTTGTCCGTCCTGGATGGCTCCAAGATGGCCCAAGATGGCCTCCAAGACGCCTCCAAGACGGCCAAGATGACCTCCGAGACGGCTCAGATGGCCCCAAGATGCCTCCAAGACGGCCCAAGATGCACCCAAGACGGCCTAAGATGTCCTCAAGATGGCCCAAACCGGCCCAAGAGGCTCCCAAGAGGAGGCCTCCAAGACGGCCCAAGAGGCCTCCAAGAGGTCCTCCATGAAGGCCGAAGAGGCCGAAATCATTGATGTTCCTTAGGTGTTTGAAGAAGTTTGGTAGTTTCGCCTTTTCGGCTTTCCGACGGCCCAAGACGGCCCACGAGGCCCCCGAGGTCGCCCCAAAGATCACCCAAGAGGCCTCCAAGATGGCCCCATGACGGCCCAAGAGGCCCCCAAGACGGCCCAAGAGGGCCCCAAGACGGCCCCAAGAGGGCCCCAAGACGGGCCAAGAGGCCTCCAAGACGCTCAAGATGGACTCTAAGACGGCTCCGAAGCGCCCCAAGAGGGCCCAAGTCGGCCCAGAGAGGCCCCCAAGACGGCTCCCGACGGCGTCAGACGTGCCAGGAACCCACCACGATGGCCGAAGTTGGCTCGAAGCTGGCCCAAGACGGCCCAAGAGGCCTCCAAGAGGCCGCCACGACGGCCAGAAAAATGCCAAAAACACGTATTACCCTGTTGCTCATAAAAGTATATTGACAGTTGCTTCTTTTCGGCCTTCCGACGGCCCGAGACGGCCCACGAGGCCCCCAAAGATCGCCCAAAGATCGCCCAAGAGGCCTCCAAGATGGCCCCAGCACGGCCCAAGAGGCACCCAAGACGGCCCAGGAGGCCTTCAAGACGCCCAAGATGGCCTCCAAGACGGCCCTGGAGCATTCCAACAGGGCCCCAAGTCGGCCCAGAGAGACCCCGCAAACGGCTTCCGACGGCGTCAGACGGGCCAGGAGCCCACCAAGATGGCCGAAGATGGCCTAAAGATGGCCCAGGAGGCCTCCAAGAGGGCCCCCAGGAAAGCCCGAAAAGGCCAAAATAATTGATTTCCCGAGGATGGTTGAAGGATTGTGGCATTTGCTTGTTGTTCGGCCTTCCGACGGCCCGAGACGGCCCAAGTGCCTCCAAAGATCGCCCAAGACGGCCCCACGAGGCCCCCAAGACGGCTCAAGAGGCCTCCACAACGTCAAGATGGCTTCCAAGACGGCCCAAGAGCCCTCCAAGACGTCCTCCAAGAAAGCCCGAAAGGGT